GTAAATTCTTAATAAATTCTTATTCCCAAACTACACTTTTCTCCCTGAAGAAGCATTGGTAGCAGAGTGTAGAGTGGGTTTAGAGGCTGAGGGAATCACTGGAGACTGAGGTTAAAATAATTCCTTAACAGTGAGTCACTGTAACCATAGGTGAACAGGTTCAACTTTCTGAAACTCAGTTGCATTATCTTTAAAATGAGCATAATAGGCCTGGAAATGTAGCTCAGTGATAGAGTGCTTGGTCTAGCATGTGGGAGGCTCTGGGTTTGATCCCTAGTACAGCAAAATGATAAATGTATAAAAAATAAGAACCTAATAATACTGTGTACCTGGAAGCACTATTATAAGGATAAGAAAGAATGTGTTAGAAAATATTTTGCCAACTGTAAATTGCTATAGTCATGAGGCTTTTTGTGTTTGTGTGTTTGTGGTGCTGGGGATTGAACCCTGGGCCTTGTGCATGCAAGACAAGAACTCTGCTAACTGAGCTATATCCCCAGCCCATCATGAGGCATTTTTTATTACAAAGCACTGGACAGGAGTGGTAACAAGGGAATTTTATGAAAAGAGAGGGGAACCACTAGGTATTTGGCACTGAATACATGTCAGCTCCTAGGCTGAGCCCATTTACATGTGCTTGTTCTTTGAATCATCAGTCTTTTTTTAAAAAATATTTTTTTAATTATTGATATACCTTTATTATTTATTTATTTATTTGTGGTGCTGAGGATGGAACTCAGTGCCTCACACATGCCAGGCAAGTGCTCTGCCACTGAGCCACAACCCCAGCCCCCATTGTAACAGTCTTGAGGTGATAGTTAGAGTTAGGCCATTTGTCATATGGTTATTTTCCTACAATGAAATTATAAAAACTCTTAAGGGGCAAATCTAGGCATCTATGGACATGGCAAATAACAAAAGTACTAAAAAATTTAAAGGACACTTGACCCTGTTAGCCTATAAAGTAATCCAGGTGTTTGGACATGAGATAACATTGAATAGCTGAAAGAGCATGACATGCATGTCTGCAGTGCCTGAATTCAGCATAATTTGTCTACACCGTGTCATGTGCTGAGGATATGATGTGAAAGAACAAATCTTTATAGAGCTTGCAGAGAATGCAGTTGAGCACACAAGAAGGCATAAGGTAGGAATAAGGGTTATCAATAGAGGAAGTACAGAGGCGCTTGACCACTGAGTCACATCCCAAGTCCATTTTTGTATTTATTCACTGAATTGCTTAGCACTTTGTCTTTGCTGAGGCTGGCTTTGAACTCGTGTTCCTCCTGTCTCAGCCTCCTGAGCCGCTAGGATTACAGGCATGTACCACTGCACCCAGCGAGACCCTTACTCTTATTAAAGGGTTTGGGTTAACCCAAGAATATTGGGTTTTAATGCCAAGGAAGAAGTTGAAGGGCTTTAATCAGGAAAGTGGAAAGTAATGGTGGTGACATGACCTATTGTATTTTTAGAGAAATCACTTTGGCTGCCATGTTGTAGGTTAGATTGGAAAATGAAAAACTGAAAGTTGAAATTTGGATAAATAGTCGTTAAAGTATTCTATGAGGGTGGTAATATAAGATAATGATGACCCATAGTCAGGTAGTGACAAAAGAAATAGAAAAATGGGTGGGTTTAATTTAAGAGGTAAGTAAAGAAGACTAAGATATGGCCAGAGAGGTCTGGGAAAAACCATGAGTATGGTGTTTAAGAGTTTGCCAATAAGGAGTGGTCAATTGTGTTAAATATGGCTTCCAGGTCCAGGAAGTTAAGAACTGAAAGCATTTACAACATTTATAGTGAAGGAGATCCTGGATCAACTTGGTGAAAGCAATCTCAATGACATAGGAGTTAAGTGTCAGGACAGAAGTACTGGGATGCAAATAGGCAAAAATTATTATAGAAGCACAGAGTTGAGTTACAGAATAAGAAAACAGGGAAGCTTCCTGGAGGAGGCATTACCTAAGTGGAGTACTCAGGGATAAATAGGAGTTAGTCAGAAAGAGGCAGAAAAAGAAAATCCAGGCAGAGAATCATGTGCGCATGCTCTTTGGGTCTACGAAAAATAACTGTGTGACTTTGGGCAATTACTTCACCCATTTCCTCATTTATAAAATAGGGATGGGTAGTCCTGATAGTATTTATCTTATAGGGTTGTTGCCAAGATTGAGATGATTTATGTAGAATACCTGAGACATAATAGGGACTCAATTACTGATAGTTCATTTCCCCACCCGCCCCAATTAAAGCATCACAATGGACAATTTTTAAAAATGAATTTAATCTCTCTCTAGAAACATTGTATTGATTTTACAAATGTCTACATTTGGTTTTCAGTTCACCAAGATGATGTCAGTACAGCTAGGGAGATGCAGCACACACCTTCACTCCCTCTGTCTCTGGAAGAGAAACCAGATTGTAGAGGGCATGGAGTACAGAAGCTAACAGAACTCGAAATGGTAAGACAAAAAGAGCAGAAACAGTTGGTGTGACCAAACATTCTAACATGCCCGACTGTTACATCAAATACAGTAATTTGGGGATTGGAAGGAGACAAACAAGGAAAATCCACTCAGATACAAGATGATGGAGTTTGCAAACCAGTACTTTACCTCAAATTGACAATTAGTATAGAACAAAATGCTATTTTAAAAGCACATGGTTTGTACAGGTATTTGTTTTTTTGTAATTTTTGTAAAAAAGTATCAAAACTGTGTCTTTAAATATATATATATATATATTTATACAGGTGGCTTTTTAAAAATTATTTTTATAGCACAAAGTGTTTGCAAATGCAGAGGGTTTCTGCCAATTCTTGACTGTGCACATGGTGCATAGCCTGAATGAAGAGCTTCCTGATTTTTTTATATTAATTGAAAATTTTGAAGCTATAATTCCTCCACCTTCTAAATTCTTCATATCCTGTAATTTCCCAATATCCTAAAAATATAGTGTGAGAAGACTCTGATATTATCTTCATGCATTTATGGGAAAGGAAATTTTCTCTGAAATGTTTTAACTGCTAACTCATTTATATTCTGTGACGAGCGCATGGCCAGTTTTGGTGTGGATTGTATTTCTGTGGGATGCGAATGGCCCCTCCCCATTCCCGCTAGTGCCTGACTGTACAGTGACTAGGATCTCCTTTCCAGACTCCACATCTTTAAAACTTCTAGTTTTCTCACAGTCGAGAAAAATCTAAGAGGCTCTTGACAACATGGCATGCTTCCATGAAAATCACATTGCCTTTATATTAGTTTTCATCAACCATATTAAGAAACCTCTAATTCAAGTTTATGAAATGCAGTCAACATTTCCCTTTGGCCACTGGAAACTTGAGGCTGAATAATGTCACGTCTGCAAAGTGCTGGCAATGCATCTTACATTTTCCATGGTGTACTTAGTGCCTTGTTCACAATAATGACCAAGAAATGTTTAATTAAATCAGAAATTAAATATAAGTATTTTATAAAGTGCTTATGTTGAACCTGACTCCATCCAGCCTCATTTCTTGCTAAGTCATGGTGAGTCTTTTATTCCAGTTACAATGAACTACGTGCAGTTCCTTAAAGTCTCCATGCTGATTCATGCCTCTGTGTCTTTGCAGTTTCTTCTGCCAGAAGCAGTCTGGACGCTCCTTCTTAATTTTGAGACTTAGCTTAAGGTCACTTCTCCTATGAATGCATCATTCTTCATCTCCTCAGGTAGAATGACCCCTCTCTCCTTGTCCCTAATGGTACTCTAAATTGAAATCTCTTCCCTTTTTGTTTCTACATGTCTCCCTCTGCTGCTGCTGTGAGCTTCACAAGGACAGAAAATATTTGATTGACCTTTACATCTGCAGTTCCTGGCATACAGTTGGCAACTAGTGAATGATTTTAGGGGATGAATATGCTGCAGTCACATAGAGATAACTGAAGAGATCAGTAGTACTTATTGCCATATATTTAAATCCCATCTTATTCTCTTTTTGCCAGTTGAGGTTATTTTAGTCTGTTTTATATATCATGCTATCAAGAATAAATATTAAATAAAGTTTTTGTTTTCCCTGTTTCTAGAAGACCATTTCTGCCAGTGCCTTGGTAAATCCACTAGAAAGATAGCTACAGATAGAAAGCATGTTTGATACGGTGTTTAGATAGCTTCAGGATGTCTCCTGGAGAAGGAAAGGGAGGAAAAGGACTAGGCTGGCTTCTTTAAATAAAGGAAATATTGTCTTGATGAAATTTTTGCCCTTTTGGCATTACCTACAAGTTTTCTTCAGCTCTATCGTCCAATGAGTCTGTGATCTGTTATTGGCTGTAGATAAATATACACAGGAACAAAAGGCAACAGAATTGTAACTGCACCTCAAAATAAGGCCCAAAAAGCCTCCAAAAATAGGAGGAGAGTGGATTTGACTCCTCAGATGTCATGATCCAACACAGGACTCTCCATTTATTTCTTGTAGGTTATTCTCATAGCTGAATTTCTCAGGACCATCAACACAAGTACATCATGAGGAAGTTGTAAAACAACGTCCAAGCTCTGGAACAGTTGTTTAAGAATTTAAACAAGATTAGGAGACCATTAGTAGAGCAAAGTCCTAGGAACAGAATTATAGAACTGTAGATTGTCTGCCTGAAGATTTTAAAGGGCATCAAGTTCATGAGACATCCAAGCTTCACTGAGTTGGGGGCGTCTGGAGGGTGGGAGTGGGGAGACATTTGCTTCAGAGTGTCAGGTTCCAGGTATGTTAAGGTTAGATACATGTCCTCTGCTCCCACGTAAGCCAAACACTTCCATGTTGTATGTGTCCCTGGTTGTGGAGAGGGAGTGAAGTGGCGGAACAGCAGAGTGAAGGAAAGACCATACTTTGGATGAGACTGAATTCCTTCTGTGACTGTAGGATTGTTTCTGATGGTAGATCCCACAGATAAAAAACAGTACTTCTCTCCACCTGCCCCAAGGCCCAGGAAAAGCGAGCAGGAAGGAGGTGTCCATAATGAAAAAAAGATCTATACATATAACCAGAGTATTTCCTTTTATTTACAAACCAGTAAACCAAATCCCTGTGTGAACATATATAGCCAATATGTTGTACTATTTTGTATGCCACTTCCCCTCAAATATGACTTCAGGTTTAACCACTTCAAGTTTTTCTGATTTAAGCCAAGATTTAGTTTCATCTCTATGCTCAAATGATGGTAAGAAACCTATTAATTTCTTTAAACTGTTTTCCCCACCTAAAGAAAATGGTAGAAAGTGAAGGGAAAGAACAAACAGAGATGTAACAAAACCTATTCCACCACCGTTATCTTCACCCACAGCATGTCTCAGAGTTCAGTGCCTGAGTGAGTCTCTATAGTAAACATGGACTGTTCTGAAAATGTCTCCACTTAGCTAAATAAGTTAGGATGGCAGCCTTCAGGGTGCTTCAGAGGAAGCTTACTGAATTCAACCCCAGTGTCCTGAAGGAAACTGAAGACATTACTCGAAGAGCTGAACTTAACAAGGACTTGCTGAGGTTTAGGCATGTTCTTTCTTGAACTCATGAATACTTCTGGCACTATGTATAATATCTGTACACTGACCTTAGCCACAGACAAGAAGCCCCAGATGAGCTGAAAGGCTTTTCCTGGTTTATTGGGGTCTCAGGAATAGCCAGAGGTAAAAAGATCTGTCTCTTCACACCACATATTTGTACAAACCTTGGTATCTGTTTTCTGAGCCAAATTTCCAAAGGTTTCTCTGAAAACTACAGATACCCCTCTTGTGGACTATTTTAAAATAAATCTATTTTTATGATTTGAACAGTAACTAGAGGTGTGTCTCTTCTCTGCAGATTTCTCTCTCACACATACATAAACACACACACAGAGTCTGTGTGGTGGGCCAGTCATACCAAAAATAAATACTTTCACTTCTCTAAATGTTTTATGGAACTAATGTCATTTTTGAAATATGTTAATAAATAATCTAAATGGGGGAGGGAGTTGAAGTGTTTGTTCTTTTTTACTTATGTTGATGGATAGCCACAAAGCATTATCATTGTATTTACAAAAAAACAAAACCCCCAAACCCAAAAAATCCCCCCAAATCAAACATCCTCTGTAAATATAGTATTTAAATGATGAGTAAGGTACTGTACCATCGGCCCCTGTTTGGTTATGTACAGCAGGTTAGTCACTCAGCAGTAGCCATTCCATGAATTCCTCATGGGTAGTGCAACGAGTTAAAAAGTGTATAAAACATTATACATATAAAAACTCTCACATCCTTTGGATGTTTGCAGTTCATCATAACTTTGTGGTTACCTTTTCTGCAACATAAATTAAAAAAAAAGTTACACATCCACACGCTCACTCACACAGACCATATGTAGAAACCCATTCATCCAATCATACACCATCCAGAGAGAGTAGTGCATGGGACCGAGCTCCATGAGGCACGAAGGGGTGGTCCCATCCTCAGGGCAGTCCATCATCTTCAAGGCTTAATGCCACTCGCTGGGGAGATAGACCAAAGAAATCATCATTAGATCCATAAGAGCTACTATTTATTATCTACAAAGTACCAGTCATATTATTACTTTATGGGTATTAGCTCACATAATCTTCAAACTATGCTGAGACAAGATTTATCATATTTTGCAGTTGAGAAAACAGACTCCATGAACTTATGTACTGTTTGATCTGGATCACGTAGCAAGTGGCTGAACTGTTTGATACCAGGTCTGAGTAAGTCCAGAGCTGTCGCTATTTTCATCATTCTATTCTGTCTCTGTAAAGCAGGGTGGCAGAGATCTAAACTTTCTTCTCTTCCACGATTCAAGGTTGGGTCAACTTAAGTGGATCAGATCTGTAAAACATTAAATCCTTGACTTTTAGTGACTTGTCTCCAGAATGCTAATCACAATTAGTTTGTAACATGCTGCACCCTCCCAACTGATTAAACAGAATTGGAAGGAAGTGCAAGTCATTAAATTCAGTCCCTGTCTTCCTTATCCATGCTTTCCAGTCACAGGATATAGACTCCCCTCTGCTACAAATGCTAACCACTAGATAGTGAGCCCACTAACCCTTCAGCCAGTAACCCCTTGTGGACAGTGGATTTAAATTCTTTCCTATACTGATGTGAAAGTTGTGTCTTTATATCTTATGTGATTCCCTGATTCTATGCCTTAGACTCAAAAACTGAGTTCTACACAGGACAATCCTGGTAGAATTCTGGTTCTGCCACTTCCTGGCTATGATCTTGGACAAGTTATTCACTTTCTATGAGTCTCCAGTTTTTTCTTTGAAATTTATAGATAATGTGTGAATTCCTTCCCTTTATTCTGTTTTTTGTCTCTAGGATACACATCTAGTTTTCCACAACTGGTCCTGATATAATCATGTTTGTTATTCTTCCATTTCCTCCTTTGGACAGACCCTAGTTTCATTTTCTCACAGCTATGTGAATTTAAGCTGGCCACTTGACTTTTCTGGGACTTTATCTGTCAAATGGAAATAAAAGGACCTACCTTATAGGGCTGATGTGGAACCAAATTAAATAATTCATGCATAGTGTTTAATATAGGACTTCATCCACATGGGATCTGGAGAATTCTAGATCAGCCTAACCAGTGTAAGTATCTTCCATCTCTGAACATTCTACATGTGATAAAAAGCAATTCCACTGCCTTTCAAGTCATCTTTGGCTTATTTGTGGTTTTCTGTGAATGCCATGCTCCACTAACAGACCTTTGAGACCATCTTATTCTAGTCCTGCCACCCTCCCACTCTAGTCAAGACAGATCTCTAAGGCCAAGATAGGTCCTCATAGTGATGGCAGAACTACCTGAGAAAGGGACAGGGAGAAGACAGGTTGAGAATACTGATTTACAGAGCTTTTTTCTTTTTTGATTGTAAGAGCTTTAAAGTTATTTACCCCATGATAAAATTGAAAGAGCATGGGCCTTTATGTAAATAAAGACTGGAGTTTGAATCCTGGTTCTGCCACTTCCTGGCTATGATCTTAGACAATTTATTCAATTTCTATGAGTCTCCAGTTTTCTCATCTGCAAAATGGGGCTAATAATATCAACTCTATAACATAATTTTAAAGATTAAAAAAGAAAATGTATGTGAAACACTGAAAACAGTGTCTGACACATAGTAGGTGCTCACTAAATCCAATTTCCTCATTCTGTTAACTCTGTTTCTCTGTAACTGGCAGACTTGGGCATTAGACTTCTCAGGAGTAACTCCTCCTAAGTCATTTCCTTTTCTGGAAATAATGCCACATGCAAAGTGCTTTGTAATTTACAAAGTGCTATCTTGTTTAAACTTTCTAAGTTCAGGAGGGTTATTCTTGTTTTACAAATAAAAGTAAGTAGAGAGAAGTGACTAAGATCATGGGGCTACAGAATGGTGGAACTGGGAGACATCTTTTTACCGAAAGCTCAATGCTTCTGGCACTGTGCTCCTTTGATCTTTAAAAATTGTTAAGCAACTGTTTGCTCGGACTGGCCGAGGTTAAGGATCCTCAAGGCCATCTGCTCACCCTTCTCATTTGTTCAATTTCCTTTCTCATGTCTCCCCTTTATGAACAGTTTGCTTCAGAAAAAGTTCTGTTTGCTCCGTACTCAGTCATGTTCTTGCACATGCCATTTCCTTGGTCTGCCACTAACCCAGGTTTCCTCTTTGCCCCACCCAGCTTACAGTTTGCAGCCTTCCAAGACCAGAAAGCCTTCTAGATTGGCTGCACCTGCCTAGGTTCAGGCCCTCACTCACCAGTCCCTCAGGCTCAGAGTGGCACTGCCCTACCTTGCACTTGACGACAGGCAGCTCGGAAAGAGGGTTCTTCGGGAGTTGGTGCAGCTGTGACCTTGGTTCCCCCGGCAAGACAAAAAGCTCCTTGAGGGCAGGGGCTGGGTCTTCCAGTTCTCTGGTCTCCCCAAGACAGGGCTCTGCCCACAGTGGGCGATCAAAGCTGCTGATTGCCTGACAGGGGGATGTACTGGATGACCTCTGAGGTCACACTCAGCCCCCTGACTCTGCTGTACAACAATGATACCTGCTCCAACCACTTTGTGGTTTTTACTTCCCCAACAAGTCATGCTCTCTTGTGCCTTTAAGCCTTTGCACATGCTCTCTCTAGAATGCCATTTCCCTCCTTCTCTACCTGGAAAATTGCTATTCATCTTTCAAAGATACAGTTCATCTGTTACCTTCTCTGAGGCATTCCTTTCCCAATTCCCCAGACAGAATAAAGAGCTCCCTCATTGATGTTTCCATAGCATTTGTTCAATAAATACTTGTTGGAAGCCAGCTATGCTATGCTAGGCACCAGGAAAACAAATTAATCATGTCAGATCCTGCCCTCAAGGATCTCACACTCTAGAGGGGACCACTAAGTAAAAGACAAATGGACTGTAGTGTGACAGGTGCTGGGATGGAGAGAGACCCATGTGACCATGAGAGAACAAAGCAAGCCAAGGAAAGCTTCCTAGAATAAAGAACTCCTAAGCTTCCACCATGGCACGCAGCACACAGTTGTACGAATGTATATTAGCATCTCTAACTCTCCCAGCAGCTCCTTAGGAGCAACTGCATTTCTTAATTACTTTTGAACACTCAATGTCTAATGTGGTGCTTGGCATATAACTGGCATATAGTGTTGTTGAAACGAATACATTCACATTAAATGGCCACAGTTGCCCTTCTATCCCAAACATGCTGAAAACTCCTCAGCAGAAAGAAAGGCCTCTGGCTTCTTTACTACCAGGAAGAGACTCTAGGTACAAGGTGGTCCTGCTACCCTGCTACGCTAACAACCTACCTCAGGATATCTGTATTCCCCAGTGCTTGGTACATGGTGGGTTCTTGATAAATGTTAAGGAAGGAGAAAGGAAGGAAGGTGTGGGGAAAAGGAAGGAAGGGAGGATGGAAGGAAGAAACTTGCCCAGCAAGGAATACTTACTGCAGGATAGACATGGCCAATCTGAGCAGTCCTCCCTATATGGAGCTCGTCTTCATCTTCTTCTTCTGTTGTTTTCCTGTACACTGGGTTGTCAAAATTCATGCTCTTGGTGTTCTTCCGCTTCCAGTTTCTCCAGATCAGGTAGCCACTCATGCATAACAGAGCTATTACCGCTAGAGGAAGGGACACATTATACTGGACATCCAGGAGGCTCCGGCTCATGGCCCAGACCTCAGTGCAGATCCTGCCACCTCTTCAACTTCGCTGCCCCTTGCCTTTTGGGCACTGTTTTTGCTGTTTGGAAGCCTTTCTCTCGTCTCTTCTTTCCTCCATTAGCTACTCATCCTTCAAAATCCACCTCAAATGATAAATCTTTTCCATTTGCTGTAGACAGAGTCCATTGTTCCTTCATGTATGCTCCCAGACCACAGTATCTTACTTTACTGGAACTGTCCTCCCAGCTCAACTGAACCTTGGTGGGCAGAGACTGTCTTACTTATCTCTCCATGCGCAGTGCCCAGCACTGAAGAGGTGCTCAGTTGACATGTGCTAAACAAAGGAGTCAATTTTTCCCCCTTTGCCCTATTGCTGCTGCTTCCTGGAATCTCTTAAGAAAATCACCCTTTCTATAAATTAGAGGGTGGAGAGTGGGATGAAGCTATGGCCCCACCAAAGAGGGGCAAGACTAGAAGGGGATACAGAGGGCAACACAGGCTTTTCAGTTAGAATAAATGAATTTATTAATGAGTAAAGAAGGCTGTTGAGAGCCACAGCCGAAGGGGCCCCAGCAAACTTCCAGCTGCCAGCTGATGATTGGCTCACAGCAGCCCCAGCAAACTTCTAGCTGCCAGCTGATTGGCTCCTCTGCGGTGATGCTCATTGGGCTGTTTCCCCACCCTTTCAGACCACGGAGCTGCTCATTGAGGGACTTTTTGGCTCCGCCCACGCAACCCAGCCAATCAGCCTCAAGAGCAGGAGGAGTGGGGGAGTTGAGAGGCTTGTGGGAAGCCGGTGGTGGCAGTTGGGCTCTGAGGGAATTCCTGAAGAGCTCGTGTGGTGTGGCGTGTGTGTTCTAAAAATAAAGTTCGTTTCTGCTTGATAAGTGGCTTGTGAATTGTGTCCAGCCAGACTGCGGCATTTGGTGGCCCGTAAGGGGATTAGTCACCACTCCTAGGCCTCGAAGCGTTTGAGTGGCTTGTTGTAATGGCCAATGTTTTGGCCATTCTTGACGAGAGATGATGCGAAGGTCTGCACCTGTATCCAGTAGCCCATTAAATTCATGTCCTTGAATATTTAATTTTAGCATGGGGAGAGAATCTAAATTTAAAGAAAGCATAGCCCAATCTACACCTCTGGAGCCTAATCCCCTGGAACCTCTTTCTACAGTACGACTGGAAAATTTATCATGTAGGCTGGGTATTATTAGTAACTGTGCTATTCTATCTCCTGGTGAAATTACTGATATACCCTTTGGAGAACTGGCTATAATTTTTATTTCACCTTCATAATCGGGATCAGTTACCCCAGGACTTATCATAAGTCCTTTTAGAGTAGAAGAACTGTGTCCCAATAATAAGCCTACTGTTCCTTTGGGAAGAGGTCCTTTTACCCCTGTGGGAATGATTTGAACTCCCATCTCTGGAGTTAGTATTGTTCTGGCGGAGGCGCAGATGTCCAATCCTGCACTTCCTCTGATTTGTCTAGTGAGGGATCTAATGGACAATGTGTCCTGGGCACTACCCTGATGGGGTTGCTGGGTTCCTCCAGGGCCCTGGAGCATTGGGCCTCCCTGTCCATTTTTTGGCAATGGAGCCCGATGCCTTTCTCCATGATATCATGGATAGACACCTGGTCCTTGTTCGTTTTTTGATAACGGAGTACCCTCTATGGTGGTTTGAGAACGGCATTCATTAGTCCAATGTCTCTCTCTACGGAATCGTGGGCAAATACCCGGTATTCTACTCCTTTGATACCTAGTTTTGTTAAACCCTCCTCCTATGGGGCAATTCCTTTTAAAATTTCCTGTTTGTTCACAATTGTAGCATGTTTTTGGCCTGGCATCTAAAACCTGTTGTACTGCAGCTGCCAAGTCTTGCCTTTGTTCATTAATGTCTCTACATAATTTAATATATGTGTTTAAATCTTCATGTTTCCATGGTCTAATGACTTCTCTGCACCAACGATTCGCTTGCTCATAAGCCAGTTGTTTTATTAATGGCATTACTTGTTCTGTATTCCCCAAAACTCTGGTAGCTGTTTGAATAAGCCTATCTACAAATTCAGCGTAAGATTCATTAGCTCCTTATATTACCTTAGATAATTGACCTTGTAAACCTCCATGTCCTTGTAAAGTCTTCCATGCCCTAACCGCCTCTGCAGCAATTTGTGCGTATACGCCAGGATCATATGCAATTTGTTGCTGCTGATCCTCATAAGGTCCCTTTCCTAACAACATATCTAAATTTCTCTGAGGATAACCAGCTTCTGCATTTCGCCTAGCCGTCTCCTTGCAAAATTCCTCATTGGCAACCTTCCATAACAGGTATTGTCCTCCATTTAGCACAGCTTTACACATACTAGCCCAATCTGCTGGCGTCATGTTCAAGTTGGTAATGGATTCGACCATGCTTACAGTGAAGGGTGCTTGAGGACCATAGGTTGTTACAGCCTCTTTTAGCTGCTTCACTGTTTTGAAATCTAAAGCATGGTGAATTCGCTGCCCTCCTGCCTGCTCAAATACAGGGCATGTTAATATTTGAGGTCCTGACTCAGGATCCCATCTATCAACTACGGGGGTTGGGGGCCTCCCAGCATATGGAAGTGGCGCTGTTGGTTGGACACTTATGCCCTCTGGTGATAGAAAGGTGTTAGTAGCAGTCTCCTATTGTAACTTTTCCTCTGATGGCTTTTTCTGCTCTAAACTTTCCTCCTCTGTCTGACTAGCTCGAGAGACCTTCTCTTTTACTTGAATCTTTTCCTCTGTCTGACTAGCTCAAGAGACCTTCTCTTTTACTTGAATCAATATGTCTTCTCCTTCCTCTACCATTGTCTGAACTGAAGGCTTTGGACTAAGCAAACAAGATACAAATGTCCACAATGGCAACGTGCCAACTGGCAGAGTCCCTGGGCTTTTCTTTTCTATTCTTTTTAAATCTTCACCATGATGGTTCCATTGTGATATATTTAACAACTCCTCCTTAAAAAGCCATGGGCTACATTTTTGTATTGTATCAACGTATGCCCTGACTGTTTTTGATTTTACTGAGATGCCTCCTTCCTCTAACAATTTACTTAACACTCTTTCGGTTTGTTTTTACTAATTTCTGATCCCATATTTCTACTATAATACAACCCAACAAGATGACGCCAAACAAAACAGAAACAGAATGAAACAAAAGTGGAACAACAAAAAGTCATTATAATAGCCTTTCTATCCTCCTGAAATGTCCATCCGTCCTTTCTCCCTATCTGTTCCTCAGATGCAAATAGTTTTTCCTCAGATGTGAGCCGTTTTTCTTCCGTCTTACACATCTCCAGGGACAGGCAACTTAAAACAAAAGCGAAACAAAACAAAAGAAGAATCTTAAAATGGCTACCCATCCTCTCGCCCTGCCCTCAGGGGTGAGCAGTTTACCTTATCACTTACCCTCAGTTGTTCCCCATACGGGCAACCAAATGCCACAGTCTGGCTGGGCACAATTCACGAGCCACTTATCAAGCAGAAACAAACTTTATTTTTGGAACACACATGCCACACCACACGAGCTCTTCAGGAATTCCCTCAGAGCCCAACTGCCACCACCCGCTTCCCACAAGCCTCTCAACCCCCCTCTCCTCCTGCTCTTGAGGCCGATTGGCTGGGTCGCATGGGCGAAGCCAAAAAAAGTCCCCCAATGAGCAGCTCCATGTTCTGAAAGGGCGGAGAAACAGCCAAATGAGCATCACCGCAGAGGAGCCAATCAGCTGGCAGCTAGAAGATTGCTGGGGCCGCTGTGAGCCAATCATCAGCTGGCAGCTGGAAGTTTGCTGGGGCCGCTGTGAGCCAATCATCAGCTGGCAGCTGGAAGTTTGCTGGGGCCCCTTCGGCTGTGGCTCTCAACAGAAGGCAGCACTCTTTAACAGAGCTGGTTAAAAATGGCAAGCAGCTTCATAAGGCAGTAGGTAATCTCTGCAAGTACTCTAGTGGAGGCTGGATGATCATTATTTAAGATATCTGATGCTTTTATATCATGCTGTTATTGATGGGTTTCTGTTTAAATAAGATGGTAATCATTGATACCCACTAAAAATAGGGACAAAGTAAGGATAGTCATTATCACTGCCACTATTTAATGTCCTTGAGAGATGTAGCTGTACAGTAAACCAGATAATAAATTGGAAATTGAAGGGAATAAATACGAGAAAGGAAGAAACCAGACTGCTGTTACTTAACAAATATTTGTATGTTTAGAAAGTCCTAGAGAGGCAAGTGAAAAACTATTAGAAATAATTTTAGTTTGTCAAGAATCAATATAAAGGTAGGCCTGGTAGCGCATGCCTATTATCCCAGTACTTTAGGAAACTGAGGCAGGAGGATCACAAGTTCAAAGTCAGCCTCAACAACTTAGCGAGGACCTAAGCAACTTAGGGAGACCCTGTCTCAAAATAAAAATAAAACACTAGGGATATTGCTCAGTGGTTAAGCACGCTGGGTTCAATCCCTGGTACCAAAAAAAGAAGAAGAAAAAAAAAGGAACCAACACAAAAAATCAATAGCTTCCTTTTTAGTCAGCAATAACCAATTAGAAAATGTAATGAAAAAAGAACACATACATAATAGCCCAACAAAATCTATAAAATCCTGGAATAACATAATAAGAAATGTGCAAGTCTTATATGATTTTTAAATTATTCTAAAGGGCATTAAAAAAAGACTGAAATAAATAAAGATGTGATATTCCTGGATAGGAAACTTCAATATTGTAATATAAATTCTTCCCACTTAAATTTATATATCCAAAATGATTTCAATAAAAATCCATCATAATTTTTATAGAATCGACATGATTAAAGTTCATCTAGAAGAGAAACTGAACAAAAATATCCAAGAAAATGCTGTGAGCATAACATATCACAGAATGCTATGAGTATATAGGAATAGAAATACAATTTGTAAAGTAGAATAAACAGCCCAAAAATATAGGTATGTGAGAAAGATGGCAATTCAAGTCAAAAGGAAAGGATAGACCAATAATGGTTTTGGAGAAACTAGGTAGATTTGTAGGAAAAAAAAATAGTTAAATCTCTCCCTTATACCACATACTCTAAATTCCAAATGGAAAATCTAAATACTAAAAACAGCTTAAAGTATAAGAAGAAAATATTGGGAGATATTTTAATAAAATTCAGAGTAAGGGAGGCCTTCCTAAGCAAAACACAAAGCTCAGAAATCATAAAAGATTAACACATCCGATACTTATAAATTTTAATTTATGCATGGCAAAAAATACCATAAACATATATAAAAATTAAGTAGCAGATTGGGAGAAAATATTCATCACATAATTAAAAAGGTTTTAATATTCATCCTGTATAAATATTTCTTTCTTTTTTTTGTACTGGGGATTGAACTCGGGGGCATTCAACCACTGAGTCACATCCCCAGCCCTATTTTGTATTTTATTTAGAGACAGGGTCTCATTGAGTTGCTTGGTGCCTTGCTTTTGCTGAGGCTGGCTTTGAACTCGCGATCCTCCTGCCTCAGCTCTGGAGCTGCTGGGATTCCAGCTGTATAAATATTTCTACAAATACAAAAAAATGAATAGAAAAATAAGACTGTGAATAGGAAATTTAAGGATGAAATGTAAATAATGGCCAAAAAGCTTATGAAAAGATATTCTCTCAGGAAAATAATACTTATCTTTCGCCTCTTGGATTAGCAGAAATTTAAAATTTATTGATTATATTAGGGTGGGTTATATCAACGAAACAGCACGCATGTCTTTCTCTATAGAACATAGGCTGATGGGAATGGGGTTGATTTGTTTTTCACTCACTCCACTCAAAATAAGGCTGGAATAATAGTCTCTATCATCATCTTATTCTGGTTAGCCCTTTCAAGGTCAATTCAAATGCTCTCTTCTCTGGAGTTATCTTTTCTTCCACTGTTCCTCCACAGAATTATCATGCTGCTATTATATCAAGTCATTATTATATCATGCCTCTATCTAATCTGTCATGCCTCTGTTATGTATTAATATCTACCTTATATGATTATGTTAACTGATTAAAGATTGAAAGTTCTTAGTCTTTATTTTTTTCTTCTCTGCATTCTTGATATAGCATTCACAAAGGGGAGAAGTTTTTTAACACATTCATTAATTAACTCACTACCATATTGAGGATTCTCAGGATCAAAGAACAATGTCCCTATCCTGAAGGTATTCATGGGCATGTAAAGGAGAAAAAAACTATGAATGGACAATCACAGTTCAAAGATACTGTGAAGAGAGGAAGCTGGCATGAGACACATGTATGAACATCGGGGTAGGGGAATGATTTAACTCCATGGTTCTGTGTGAGGTCATAACCAATATTATACTCTGACTGTATTGAATTCCATCTAGTTCAGCCTCTCCATTCCTATCCCAAACCATTTCCCATTCCTGGCTTTGCTCATGCTGTCTTCATGCTTTCATTGCTCTTGATTTTTCTTCACTTGTCTGACTCAGCTATAAATGTATCTCATGTATATGTGATGCCGAGGATGGAACCCAATGCCCCACACAGGTGAGGCTAGCGCTCTGCCACTGAATCACAATCCCAGCCCCATCATCATGTATCATTTCACTAGGAAACTTTTCCTGCCCTCTTTCTTCCTCTCTCTCCCAGGCTAAGTTAAGTACTTCCTCAACACTTTCACTAAACTCAGTGCATAGCTTAGTCTTAGGACTTAACCATGTCATAATGAACTTATCTATGTTATGTGTCTTTTCAATAAGACTTAACTTGTGTAGGACAGGACCAAATCTTATTCATCTTTAGTCACCTTTCCTCCCCTTAATCACAATTTGGCATATAGTAGCTCCTTCATAAATGTTTGTTGAAAACCAGAAAGAAAGCAAAACAGTATGACCTATTCAAGGGATGGCAAATATCCCTACTCATTTGTTCAACATATATTTAATTTTCTATCATGTGCCAGACTTTGCTAGGAGCTAGGGAGAGTAGTAAGCAAGAGAGACACCAGCCCTGTCCTCAGGGAGCATTCAGTTGGGTTTCATGTGGTGGGAGTGCAGAGTATGAATGAGAGGGGGTGGGACATGCAAACTGGATCATCACTTAGGGCCAGGTCCTAAAGAGCCTTATGTGCCAGGCTAAGGAATAAAATCAGGCTCAGGAGGTGACAGGAAGGCTGCTGGGGCAGAATGAGTCAACAAGGCAAGTCAGTGTGACATGTTATCCTCCCTCTAGTGCCTTTTCCCAAGAGCTGGGCAGGGTCTCTCTTTTCTCTCCAGTGACAAGGGGCCACACTCACCTATGGGCGCAATAATCCCAATGACAGCAGCAGTAACTGTTGAGCCCATCTTGCTGCCTTCATTCCCATCTGCAAAATACAAACATTGGCAGAATAATGCTCCATTAGAGTGAGTCCAAGCCTTTACTGGCCTCAAGCAGTAAGAACTACCCAACTGCTTCTCATCCTCACTTTAAATGATGATTGGCTAATGCTTAATAGTACAGTATTCCTAAATGCTATCCAACTCCTGTGAGGCAAACAGGACAGAGGCGTATCTCCATTTCACAGAGGGAGAAATTATATCTTAACAGATAAGTGGCTGAGCTGGGACTTGAACTCAGAACTGGTGACTCAAGCCCCACACCCTTCAGATAGCATCACAGGCTGGGGAGTATGCAAGGCAGGGTGAGCACTTAGATTTTTATGTTGCTGAATGACTGGATCAATTGCATTTTTCAGCCACTGTTTATTGCATTGTCTATGGTACTGATGGTCTGTCTGTCCATCTGTAGTAATAGTGTATTTTTCTTAAGTAATTAATGGGGCATAATAATGTAATGGAATCAAGAGCCCAGGCTCCTGCGTCAGAATTTGGGGCTCATGTCCCATTTTACTACTCATTACTTGTGTGACCTTGAGCAAGTTTATATAAATATAAATACAGATATAGATTATATGTCTGTGTCTATCTATCTATCTATCTATCTATCTATCTATATATAAATGAAAATAAACACTATCATGTTATATTTCTTTATCTTTAAAAATGGAGATAACATTATTATTTTCCTCTTAGGGAAATTGTATTGATTAAATGAGATAATTCATATAAAATATTAGCACAGTGCCTGATACAGCCTTGCCTGGTTCAAAGAGGGCAATGCATGGGGTATGGATTGTTGTGAGACCTACATCTAAAAATACAGGCAAATACACATTCTAAACTGGAAAATACTTGGAAAATGTCCTGTATTTTCTAAAAAGTATGCTGTGTCATCCCTTCTCACTCTCACAAATATCTTCATTATAGTATATTTACAGTACTTTGTAGCTTAAAAGCGTTTTTCCTTTGGATCCTCTTAACAGCCCTATGAGGCATGAAGAGGAGCTGTTATCCACATTTGCTCCGAGTGAGGAGATGACTGTTCCCTGGCAATGGCCCATCCTTTCAGTGTATCTGTTTTTCTGATTCACCTCAAGTCAATCTCACTATTGAAGGGAGAAGAGGGCTTGCATTGCTTACAAAACTAACTGTGGAAGTGCTGCCGTCCTCTCACTCTGGGGCCACAGCAAACACTGAGAGTGAAATTAAACCTATTGCTTGACAAGGCCCATGGGGAGGTCAGAGGCTCTGTCCCTAGATGAGAGGAACTGGAATTGATGTGTTCCACTTGCCTCTCCAAACTTCAGGTGAGTTCTCAACTCTAAAAATTCAGCTTCTGCTGGCAAAACGGGCCTAATCAGAAAGGTGTCACCAGGCTGCTTGGTTTCTGGGCCATCCATGAATAGAAAAAAATGTTAAAACATAGTTTATCCTTTTAAATGAACTCCCCCTGGCAGGTAACTTAATTAAAAAGGTATTTGCTCATTAATGAGATAAAATAGTTCTAGCAGTGACAATTACTGTTCACAGTGATTTAATAAGTGGCGAACTTAATTATTTTCAGCCCAGGGTATGGGAACAGGAATGAGTAGACCATAGCTAAGGATGTTAACATTTGGGCAGCTCACTGAGGATGCTGGGAACTGAGATCAGAGCTTTCCAACCCTGAGGGACACCCTTCCTACACGTCAATAACTCATAAAGCGCAAATATACATCCAGGTAGCAGAGGCTATTTATGTGCTTCCATTTATACTGCCTCCTTTGTCTCTTTTGGCAAACTTGGGAAGCAGGCAGGAAGTGCGTTGTTATTATTTTCTCTTTGTAGGGAAAGAAAATGAGGCTGAGAGATAGGATATAGCTTCCCTACAGATCCCCTATAAGTTAGGGGCATCTACGACTCCTAAATCACAGTTGGCATTCTCTTTCCCTCTGCTTCTTCCTCAGAGATATGCAGCATTCAACTCTGGTCTGATCTCTCTTCCCACACATTCCCATCCTGCTTCCACAGGACCCTCCCATGTCATGAAAGAATACAGAGCTCATTTCCTTACAATGCTGGGAGTGGTTGCTGGTTGCAGGGCTTGGGGTAGATGGGCTGATGCTGGGAGCCCTGGGGACACTAACTGAGCTTGGGACGGGAGCTGCCAGGCTTGGTGTGTCTGTGCTGTGGTTCTGGTAGGTGGGGCTGTGGATGGTGGTCCCAGGTGCTCTTGTGGTGGCAGCTACTGTCCTCGTCGTTGTAGAGGCTAACGTCGTAGTTGAGGTAGATTGAGGTGCTGGAGGGAAAAGACCATGGAGGTCACTTGGACAGAGCATTTTGTTGCTTTAGTGCCTAAGTTATTGTCTTGATGAATTACACGTAGAAACTTATTCTCAGGGCTTAGTTCAAATGCCACTCTGGTGAGATCCTGCCTCATCCCTCTGAATAGGCCACGATCTTCTCTTGATTCAAAAGATGAGTCATTAAACCATGCTATAGAATTAAGTGTGGGAAAGACCACTGTAAAAGACTAGAGGGAAGGGAAATCATAAATCTAGAAGCATTTTACTGTGGTATTATAATATCATTAGGTTTAAATTCTTAATCCACTTTAAACAATGGAACCTGGAAATCATATATGGTACAGGAAACCTGTGCTCATATAAAAGGTCTTGGCTTTACACCAAAATTGGGAAATAAACATAATTTATGTTGTTCAAGTATTATATGATGATTAGTCCTAGTCACATCACAAAAGGGCTTCTAATGTAGTTCTAGGTAAGAAATAGGCAAACACATAACCATCCATTTAGTATATAAATAGTAACTAAAGCCATGGAGATAAAGGGTTCTTAACTTGAGGTTTTCAGGGAGTTCCAGAAACCACCTACAAATTGAATTTAAAATATTTTGTGGCCAAGTATGATGGCACATGCCTGTAATTCCAACTACTTGGAAGGCTGTGGCAGGAGGATCATAAGTTCAAGGCCAGCCTCATCAACTTAGTGAGACCCTATCTCAAAATAAAAATAAAATGTCTAAGAATGTAGCTCAGTGGTAGAGTTCTTGCTTAGCATGTGTGAGGCCTTGGGCTCAATACCAATACCACCACCACCACCACACACACACACACACACACACACACACAAAACACACACACACATACACATATACATACTCTAACAACTGAGTTTTATATTATTATTATTATTATTATTATTATTATTATTATTATTAATGTATATGTGCATTTTTTTCTTGGGAGAAGAGGAAACCTTGACAGGCCTCTGGGGACATGCACATTCAAGGAAGGTGGAAAAAAAGGAGTGTGCAAAGGCAACAAGTAGCCAAAAAAGATGGAGGAAAACTAGGAGCATACTATGTCCCAGAAGTCAAGGGGGAGATTTCTGCCAGAGGCCACCCCTCCTGGAAGCTCTGCTTACCTCGATAACACCTCTTCATGTCTGGGCCCAGCCACATCGTGTCAGGACAGGCACATGTGTACTTGGGAGAATGGCTGGAGATTTGAGGAGCAGGAAGGCACAGGTACTCACAGCCTCCATTAGGCTGGGCACTCAGCTCACAGGCATCTGCAGCTAATGGCAGAGAGAGAGAGAATTAGGGCACAAATAGGACATGCTGTCTTCCCACCTCCCGTTGATGAGGCTCCTCCCGCTTGGCTTACTCAAAAAGCTTTCCCTACTTATTTGCCCCCATCCAAGGTCTTGCACATGCTAGGTAAGCACTCTACCAACTGAGCTCCATCCCTAGCACCCCCTACAATTTTATTGAGCACATTCCAATTCTATACCTCGTGCTTTATTTCTATTCTCATTTGATTCTTACAATTCTGAGAGATGGGTGTTATGTTAGATTCCAAAAACTCATGACCCCACCCCCATACCCCATGACATATGCCACATCTCTTAAATTTCTAGATCTATAATCAGGCACCAATCCTATCTCCTTACCCTCCTTTGCTTCCCCATCTTCACCCTGACAGCCAACATTTCAGTTACAGTTAGAATTAGTATATCCTAGTAATAGGGAACAAGACAACCTAGAGGAATGATCCTGGATTCTATATCCAGCCAACAGCTGACTTACTGTACAGACCTATGACACATAAGTTTATACTACTGCAAAATGGGTACAAATAGCAAATAAGAAGTAATGTGTCATAGCAGAAGAAACTCTGGAATCAGACCTGAATTTAGATTTTAGTTCTACTACCTGCTAACATTAATTTATCTCTCTAAACCTCAGTTTCCTCAGCTGTTAAAGGAGAATAACAATATGTAACCTTTGTAGGATCAGAAAATATAAGAAATTTATATATTTATTTATACCCAGCCTTATTTCGCAAAAAGCTTGAGGCAAAATAAGACAAAATATGTGATGATAAAGCACTCTATCAACAAGAGACAGTTGTTATGCTGAACCGTGATATAAATGTGAACATGGTCTGTTTCATGGCAGGAGAGGACCAGGGGACCAAGGACCAGAGACAAGGGAAGGCTCACCTCTTGGCTGCTTCAGTTCATGGAAGATGACAATATCATGTGGATTGTTGAGGTTCTCAGCCAGGATGGAGATTTCTAGGCCATTGAGCCGATTTGCACTGAAAATGGCTTCGTTCTCCAGGTCTGTCCAGAATACCTTGTCCTGTAAAGGCACAGATATGGAGGGTAGGAGGCCTATAGTCTAAGCTTATGAACTCAGTCTGAGGGCTTGGACCCAAATTATAGTCATAAGAATTGCCCTGATATTTCCCCTGAGCTATCCTAGCCACAGATTCTCAGAGGACTGAGAATTAGCTTATGATCTATGATGTCAGCTCTCCTGGTTCCCTTCTCTCTTTGAGGATTACTTGGTGATTCTGTTCTTTGACCTGAAGGCCACAAACTAACTCACTAATGCTAAGCTGGGCCTGATTCCTGGGCCAGTAGAAACCCAAGGTTAGATCTCTATAGTTATTACTATCACTGGAGTCAGGGACCAAGACTGCAGAGGATACATGAGCTACTGAGGACTATCTGCTGCTGGCTTACAGCCTCTGATACAAATCTAATACACATAAGTCCATGTGGTTAGTCCATTCAAGCCTACATGTGCATCTGCAGGCAATCCACAGTTACTGTGGTATAATCATGCATCCTTATCCACAGATCCAGACTCACACCTAAATGTTCCCCTATACACATAAAGGCATACTTGTACCTAAATAAACTTGTCTAAATACTGGTGGACATATTTACATCAATAATATGATACAAGCACCAGTGCATACAGGAATGGATATTTTTACTCTGATGTACTATACATACACATGCACATACACATACTTTACACATAACACAAATATGCTGGAGCACACATATATGTGTCATATGTGTCCAAACACACCTGCCTTTTGAAGCAGGGGCTGAACTTAGAGGTGGAGCTTTGCCCACAATTCCAGAGCAATGCTGAGTGAAGCAGCTCCAAGAAAATATTATCAAAGCCCACCATAGACTACTGTCTCCTCATTTTTTGTTAGCAGAGTTAGTCTCACGGAAGAGACTGATGTGTAAGATCTTGGTAGATTCTGTCTTCCTTGTTCCCCAGGAGGAAAGATTGTTGGGGTCAGGGCAGAGAAGGGCCCTGACTCCTCACCTTCTGGGGAGCTTCTTGAGGACTGGGATAGTGTCTGATTTATTTTTATGACCCCAAGTTCTGGTAAAGGTCAATAGAAGTATGCTGAATTGCATGGCACCTCTCAGGCCATGTCCTACAGAAAATGACTCTAAGGAAACATATTCATTCCATCTTCCCTTCCTCCCTTTTTTGGGTGCTGGATGCTGAAGTTGGAAGCATCCATATCTAGCAGTCACCTATAAGAAGTGCTCTGAGAGAGGCTTCTAGGAAGAGAGCACAGGAAAGACTACCAGGCCCTTGTATTCAGGCAGCTATCAATCTGTGTACAAACATGTCAGCTGGCTTCCCTGTTCCTTTGTTTCCATTTCAAATAGGGAGGCATCCTATTTGAACAGCCTTCTCTAGGCTTCAGCTTCTTGGCAGGGTCATGCCTCCCTTCACAGGGCTCACCTCAAACACAGCTATCCCAAAGGGGTGGCTTAGGAAGTCAGGAGAGAAAATCAGCATCTTTCTGTTGCTTCCGCTGAAGTCAATGCTGGACAGCTGGTGCAGCTTGGAGTCCACCCAGTACAATCGCTGGTTCAGTAGATCTTGGGGAGGAAGAAGGGGAGGAGGGATCAGGGTTAAGACATTTGTACCTCCCCACTGCCTACATTCCCAGGCCTCAGACTGCACCCAGCCTAGGGCAACAACCATCAGGGAATGAAGCCACTGGCACCATGAGGAGGACCTAGAAACAAGAGCCATGGAGTTCCAGACAGTCATCAGGATCAAGCACTAAAATAGGGCTCACCTAGGGTGATTCCGTTGGGCCATTCAATATTGTCTGATACCAGTGTTTGCCGGTCCACACCATTGAGCCCAGACTTCTCAATCTTGGCCTGGAACCCCCAGTCAGACCAATACATGAACCTGAAATACAAAAGAACTCAAATTGGCTTCTTGTTAGGGATATGATTGGGGTGGGCTGATTCATTAAGGCTCAATGACCCACGGACTAGTTAAGGATTATACATTGTAGGAACTAGGAATACCTCTGAAATCCTTTGGAATCATCAAATATAGAATTAGCAGACACTTTAGCCTTCATCTAAGAACCTTGAGAAGCTTAGACTCCCTGATTCTACACAGTCTCAGCTGAATAGTCTATGAGCCCATCTTTCCCATTTCTTGAAGCTCTAATCAGAGCCTTAGCGTGTCAGTGTGGGAAGGGTTCTGCAAACTTTCTCTTTCTTGGTTCAGAAAGGAGAAAGTGGATGACCTTCTCAATTGGGTAGCCCTCCCTGCTTCTGAATCCTCAGGCCAACTAGGATTGGTAGCAGCTGACCATTGTAATTCCAAGATAGTGCATTAGACCTCACTCCTTTGTAAATAGATCCATTATTAAACTCTATTCCAATATCTTACTTTGAGTATGCCGTGCATTTCCTGCTAGGATCCTGACAGAGCCATAATGGAATAGGGCAAGTTTAGGGACAGGATGTAGCAGGTGCTGCACCAGGTCTCATGAGAACATGCAGTGAACAGGACTGAGGTGAGGGTTAATGAGGCCGCAGAGGGGCCGGGGTTGTGGTTCAGTGGTAGAGCGCTTGCCTAGCATGCATAAAGCACTGGGTTCAATCCCCAGGACCACATAAAAAATGCTAAATAAAGGTATTGTGTCCATCTACAACTAAAAAAAGTTAAAAAAAAAAAAAAATGAGGCCGCAGAGTGTCTTCCCAGAGTACCGTGCTGGGAGCACCTGACTCATGCTCAGTAAATGGCAGCTATTACTTCCCAAGGCCTCACAAACATGCTCATGTGGTCTGACTTGAAGAAGAGTATTTTCTCATTTGTTTAACAACTAAAGAAACAGCACAGGAAGAAGCTAGCAAGGCTTCACATGATACTTCTATTTAAAAGGTCCTATTCTGTTCAGTTCCTAACTTGTAAAACAGATATGGGCAGAGCAAGGCAGCCTAGTTGATGAGGAGTTCAGAGACTAGGCAGCTGAGGTGGGAATGGAGGTGGGTAGCCAAGAACAGAGCAGACCTAGTGACTTGGTCCTCAAATCTTGCTAGCTGTCCTGCAGACATGTTTCATTTAACTACTGAGGCCAATGGAGGAAGTTATACAGAGACAGATTTGGGATTATGAGGAAAAAACTGACTTTCCAGTGGGCAGAACTGACCCACAATAAAATAGGTCCTATGGGAAGTAATGATCTCCTGCCCCCAGAAGTGTGTGAGCAGCTGCCAGATGTCCATCGGCAGCAGGCTGAGGAAAGGCCTCTGCCCAGGAGCTTCTACCAGGCCATCTCCAGAACCCTGCTGTGCTCTGAGACATGCTAATTCTATAATGCAGTGGAGTGGGGAGTTGGGGGAGAACCCTGGCAAACAATGTCCAAAGAACCCCTGGTCTGGGATTAATAGGATAAAGGCTGTGCATGGACTTTCTTCCCCATGGCCTGTGTCTGAGCCACCCAGAATCTTCTAGGCAGCTCTTGTGACAGATATGTGAGGACTGAGCATCTACAGTCGTGGAATGGGAAGTTTAAGTGGGGACACTCACCCTCGCAAAGGGTCGACAGCAATGGCCCGGGGTTCACTGAGGTCACGGCTGAAGAGAGTGCATCTGCGGCCACCATCAATTGTGGCCACTGAGATGGTCTTATTGCCTGAGTCTGTCCAATAGATGTGCTTGTGGACCCAGTCCACTGCCAGGCCTTCTGGAGAGTGTAGCTGCTCATCAATGAGGACCTCCTGCTCTGCTGGGTCACTGGCCTTGTCCATGTAGGCACTTAGGAGAAACCAGAGCTGGTATGAGCAGATATTCCACTCATGGGCCCATCTGGAGCTGCCTGTGCACCCTTTTTCTTCCCTTAGGATCATGACAGTGATTTTAGAAGAATTTGGCTAATTTACATTCAAAATGTTCCCTGAGCCACCAGAATAGTTATAAAGGCATGAATCAGCACAGTCTCTAGTCTGGTGAGCTCAATTTAGTGGGGGACTGAAGCTTGTGGCTAGGTACAATGACCATGCCCTCTCTCTGGTTCCACAGTGTCTACTGCCATCCATAATCCTGTCTGTCCAATCCCCAACAATTCTGGCTGTTCTTGGATGTCCTATGGACACCCTGAATTCAACATGTCCAAACCTGTTCATCCTCATTTCCAATCCTTTAGTCAAACAGACTGTCTAAACCCAACCCCAGATCCTCCTCCAATTATTCTCAGCTTAAAGAGCAGCATCAAAACCCCCAAGCCAGACACCTGAGACTCCCCAATTTAATTTTGACTCTTTCTCCTTTAGCCCCACATCCAGTCTCTTCATCAAATCCTCCTCTTCCAGTCGCAAATGTTGCTCATGCCCTGCTATAGCTTTATTTCTACATGTATGGATGTGAACACAAGTATGTCTGTGTGCTGGGGGGAGGTAGGAATCTAGTAGTCAGAGAAGAGCACTTGGGATACTTGCTTCCACCCATCCATCTACTCATCTATCCCATCATTCTTGCAACAGTGATTCAGGGTCAACCTAGTGTCTAGTCATCAACAGTCTTGCCAAGTGGATCTCAGAACAAAAAAGACATGACTTCCTAAGGAGGCTTGGACACATACAGGGAGAAAACTAGAGCATCTGATACCTAGAATAAACCACTTTGAGTATGCAAGGGCCTCCTGAGTACTGTCCACTGCTGTGGTCACAGTCAGAGTGCTGGGGGTACTGCCATCCAGGAAGATTTCTCAGTTCCCAGATTGGGTAGAGGTTTCCTCTGTACTTTCCCTGCTTGATGGCCATAATGGATGTCACTGTATATGGGATTCTCCAGGCAGGAACCAGGTCTGAGTCATATTTGAGTCTCTGGAGTCTGACACACAGGTATGTGAGCTGCTGTGAAAGTCTTCAACAGAGCCAAGGATTTCTTTTTGCCCTAGTTAAATAGCTCCTGCCTTGAACTTCTCACTAGAGGTCAGACAAAGTCCAGGCTCATGGGCTCAAGACTGCTCTCCCACCAGCGCTCCCAACCTAAGTGCCCCAGGGGGTGAATGAAATTCTGGTGCTGCCACAGTCACTGTGATCCTGTTTCTATTCCCAAACGCAACTCTCCTGAGAAACTCTAGAGGCAGAGGCTACCCTTCCCCTCCTCCTCTGTCAGCTGTTCTTTACCCTATCCCCTCCAAGCCTGGAGGGTGCATGAGACATGCCACTCACCTATAGATCTTGCGGTAGGAGAGGTCACACCAGTAGATGCGATTGGTTGCAACTTCCACATCTAGTGCCACAACATTCTTGAGCATGGGGATGAGTCGAGAGTAGTCCCGCTTCACCAGGTCTATCTTCCGCACCTCATGCCGGTTGGTAAAGATTAGGGACGGGCTCTTGCCAGCTGCCATGCAGGGAAGTGAGAGAGGCTCAATGTAAGAGACAGGAAGGGAATCTGGAGAATAAGTCTCTGTCACTAGTTTGCTGGGTAATGGCTCATTTTCTTGTAAAATAGGGGTGATAATCCCTACTCCACAAGTTTAGAGGAGTTTTTTCTTTTCATTAAATATAACCCCCCCCCCAAAATCTTTTACAACTCCCCATTTCCTCCTTCGGCCTGCACCGAGGCCTTCTGAAGTATCCAGACTCATCAACCATCCCCCAACACTCCTTGATTCCAGCTACAGACTGACTGTCATAACCTAGCCAGGGCAGGGCTGTGCTGCCTTGGACCTGTGCTCACATCCTCCTTTCCACCTAAAATGCATTTCTTCCCAGCAACTTTCACCCCTCTTTGCCTGAGACCCCATTGCCATAGTTCAAGAAGGGGCCATCTAATTAAGGAAGTGCCTTAGAAGTACGGCTCAGAGTGGAGGACAGAAAGCAGATCCTTAGGGAGGCTGCTGTGAGTTTTTCATGTTGTGAGTCTTTAGTTTATACAAAGTGTGTCTGGGGACATGACAAGAGATGAAGCTGCAGAGACTGACAAGCCACACGACAAAGGGTCCTGTGAGCTGGGTGAAGTTTGCTTTATCAGTGGCAGAGTGGGACATGTGTGATATCTAATACACATTATATACATGCAGCGGACATAATACACAACTGCCCATGTATACACAAAACCCATTTTTAGAGTTAGGGTTAGATTTTAGGAAGATCATCACTGAACTAGACATTCTGGCTACTCCAAATGGACAGACTTTCCCGGCTACTCTTGAGCACCAACCCTGTCTGAGCGGCAGCTCCAAGAAATACCTGTCCCTGGAGCTGCCTGTGTCTTCTCCTTCTCATGTTTTCCAGTTGACACTTTTGCCAGCCACCTGGTCACTGAAACTGTGCATCTGAGCCAGGCTAATGTGTTCCCTGGGGGCAGGGTGGGACCAGCACAAAGCATGTAAGGTCTGGGGCTGGGTGTATGACCTGTGTATAGTGATGAAGACTTTTACAAAGAGGGTCAGGGAAAGAGGGAGGCTATGATACAAATAAAGAGCCCATAAAATAGGGCTTTAAGTACAGGAAGGGGCAAGGAGGAAAGCTAGGCTCTAAGACCAGCTCTGCCACTGACAAACTGATTTTCCTCCCCAACTTGACCTCTCTGAAATTAGCAGCTGGGTTAAAGGGCATCTCAAGTTGTTTTTAATGAAGAATTATGACAGTAAGAGAGACGGTGTGTTTATGACTCGCATTTCTATGTAAATGTACTTTAGATATCCCTACGTATATACATTGAATTTTATATATACATGAATAGTTGTTTATTGTCCCTACTATAGATAATGTGTCACATGTCCTATGTGGAGGTTAAAAACAGACTATGTGGTACACATGATGCGGGTGTTACATAGTGTATAGTGTAGGTGTATATTTTTTGGATTTATGGGCTACATATTAAGCATCGTGGCTGTTGTGTTGCTTTAATCTCTATGTTATATGATGTATTTAAATGTATGAACTCCAGACTAATTCTTCCAACTGTCTACTCATAGCCCTACTTGGACATTTAAATGGTTTCTTATACTCATCAAGTCCAAAACAGGCTAACATTCCTCCAAAACTGATTCTCTCACCATCTTTCCCAAGTCCAAAAATAGCGATCCTATTTTTTTAGTTGCCTGGCCCAAAACTTTGGAGTCATCTTTCACTCCTTTTTCTCTCACTTCCCACATTCAATTTATAAGCAAATCCTGTTGGCTGGCCTTCAAAATATAACCACAGTCTGTTCACTTCTCAATATTCCCCCTGCAACCACCCTGTCCCAAGCCACATCACCCCTCTCTCTTTACTGAGATAACCTCTCCAGCGGTTTCCATTTCTTTGCTTGCCCTCTGCAGTCTATTCTCCACACTGCAGCCAGACAGTCTGAATGGCACACTGCATTCTTCCTCTACTCAAGACCATTCTGTCAGGAAATGCAGTCAGCCCCTAATAATAGTCTAGAAGGCTTTTGGGGATCTGCCCTGAGTCACCTCACTGACTTATCTCTTTCTAGTTTCCTCAATTGAACTACCCCACCTTCCTCACTCTTCCTTCAACATGTCAGGCATGTTCCTGCCTTAGGGCTTTTGCATTTTTGATTCCTTCAGCCTGAAATGTATTTTTGCAGGTAAGAGGTAGCTCACTCCTTCACTTCCCTTAGGTCTTTATTCAAATGTCACCTTCTTAATGAGGGCTGCCCTGATCATTCTGTTTAAAACTAAAACCCACTACCCTCTAGACTTCCCCATCCCCATTTCCTATTTTACACTTCTCTTTAGCCCCTATCACCATCTGCTAGACTATATTGTATCCTGATTTCTTGTCTGTCTTACCCATTAGAATGTAAGTATACAAGGGGAGATGAGGATTTGTGTACTGTTGAATCCCCAGTTCAATATAAAGAATTGAATAAGGTGAATTAATTCAGTTGGCTAAATGATCAATGTGTAGGACTACACATGTCAAGGTTTTTGTGTGGACTACACGTCATGGTTTTTGTGTGGGCTGCTCATGCTCTGCATGTGGTCCCAGGGTGCCTATATATTGTGTTGTGCAAGTATAGTCTCTGGGGGCCATATTGGGAGCTATTTGTAGTGTCCATATGGGTTACTGTATAGTATACTGTGTATGTGGATCTATTTCTACACTTTGAGCACAGTATGTGCAACCTGCCTTCTATATGTGGGTGCATGTGACTATAACCACTCTCACATATGTGAAGGCTTGCTGTTTCATGTAGCCCCATAGAACAGTGGATAGCCTTGGGGTGTCCATACCCACAGCCTTGCAGTTCTTGGTCAATGTGTCCATCTCATAGCCAGGGTGACACTCGCACTTAAAGTATCCCTTGTAATTCACACAGATCTGGCTGCAGGCATCTGGGTCCTCACACTCGTCAATGTCTGTGGGGAGGAGCAGAGGTCAGAACTGGTAGGAGGATCTGCCTCTCCTTGGGCAGATAGGAGGAGATCTCACCGCCACAGGTCTTCTGGTCCAGAAGCTGGAAGCCCGCTGGACAGGTACACTCAAAGCCAATCTTGAGGTCAGTGCAGATGTGGGAACAGCCTCCATTGTTTTGCAGACACTCGTTCAGCCCTAGGGAGGGATGCAGGCTCCTGAGAGTCCAAGAGCCCAGAAGGGATGGGAGCAAGGCAGGGGTGGGGGGCAGAGCCTCAGTGCAGCAGAACTCCCACAGAGCCAAGACAGCTGGAGACCTCGCTGAGCCTCAGCCCTCATTAACCAGGAGAGAACAGATTCAGAGAGAGCAGGTCCTTGGCCTTCCAGGCCAGGGGTCTGTCCACCTCCAGGCTGAAGGCAGTAGGCTTTCTCTGGTGGTCTGAGGTCTTTACTTTCACAGTCATGTTTCCTATGATCCCTCTTTCCTCACCACCTCCAAGATGAAGGGGCCTGCATGTGTAACATCCAACTTTGGGATACCAAGAGTGCCTTCTGAAATGCCCCCGCTCACACATCTCCAGCTTAGGGAGCCCACTTCCCTCCTGGGGAATAGCAATGCTCCTTATTAAGTTCTTCCTCATAGGATATGCCTCCTCCAGCTTGGCCCCCACTCCTAGTTCTGCTATATGGGCTTGGCCAGGGTGCAGGGGCTCCCTCAGAACTTCCTTAAAGTGCTTATTTCTGGCTCCCTGCCATTTAGTTGCCGTTCTCTGGACATACTCCATCTGTTCACGTCCCTCTCTGGGTAGGGGACAGAATCAGGAGTCTGAACAACATCCTTGCCCCTTACCAGGCTTGAGGCTATCTAAGACTCCTAGGTCAGGTCTTTTCCTACACGGACCTGTGGCTGAGTCAGTTCTCTCCTATATGAACCAATACAATGGACTTTTTTCCAACTCCTCCACTCTCAGCACCTGTCCCTGTTCCTCCACCTAGTCAAAGGCCTGGTCCCAATATTACCAACTGCTTCAAGGGATGAAGGGATGCCAGGAGGTCATCTGGGTCTGCTTTCCCCATCCTCCACTCCCTCACCAACTTCTGGAAGGTCCTAGGGGAGGTCAGGGAGTCCAGGACCAAGGCTCACCAAGTTCTCACAGCATCTTCTGAGCTTTAGAATCACAGAAGGTTAATTCTATAAGCCAAGGAAAGGTGCCACACCACCCCCTTTGCCCACCAGGCTCATGCACTGCCACTTCAGCCAAGTCAAGCAGAGCTGAGCTGAGCCAGCCATGGCCATGCATACAGCTGGTCTGAGCTGCCCACCCCAGGCCATGCACAGCTGTGGGGTCCCCCACCTCCAGCCTGAGCCATGCTTAAGGAATGTCCCCTTTACCCCTGGGCCTCCTCCTGTTTCCCTGGAATGTTGGTGCAACTGAAAGAACAAGACCATAGCAACCCCATGACTCATGGATCCAGGGGTGGCTCAGCCAGGTTCAGCCCTGGGAAGCCTCAGACTCCTGAGGATGGACTGAGCCATGGTAGCTTTGGAGTAGTTGGGGCAGGGGTGGGGTCACCTTCAGGACTCATTCTATCACCCCAAATCTTTCCTGACCTTTCTGGTACCATATTATTCCCTGAGCACCATCCATTCATTTCTTTCATTCACCTGCTACCTCATTCATGCATCCTCTCGCTTCCTTCCTCTCCTTTCACAGGTAGAGGCATCTCTATGATTCTATTTACTGAGCATTTGACGGAGAGGCATGTAGGCTGGCTCTGAAAGGGGAAAGCTCACAGTGACTCTGGCTTCTAATGAAAGAAACAGAGTTCTCCAGGACTGATCTGGGTTGGGGGAAGAAAATGGATAGCAGTCTGGATCCAAGTGTCACTGTCAACCCTTCCTTAGAAGGCCTGTTCCTCCCTAATTCTGCTAGCCTGGAGGTGATTCTACTGGGGAGTGGGAGAGGAAGGAAGGGGGTAGAATGGTCCAGAGGCCTGAGTAGCATTTGAAGCTTCCATGGGAGGAAGCAGTGATGTCACTTTCCCCAGCACGTGCACACACTTGCATGCACACATCTGCATGCACACACCTGCATGCACACACACACCAGCTTATGTACAGTGGCACACACAGACTCCATCAACACAGTCACACAGAAATCAGTACACACACAGAGATGTGTGAATGTAATTTTCCTGCCTTACTGAGATAAGACATGGATACAGACACTGGCCTCTCACCAGCCAGCAGAGACAGGAAGAACACGCACAGATACACACACATGCATACATACTTCTCTTTGGCGTGCCATGCAAAAGATGAGAAGAATTTAGCAGGTTAGTAGTCCCTGGCTACTGAAGATCTGGGTGTGGGGGGGAGATAGGCTCAGTTGCTCCTGCTTCCCTGTTCCCCTTTCCACAGGCTCCTTCTTCGGGGCCTTTTCTTGGCAAGGCCTGTGGGCGGTGGGTGGGAGGGTGATAATATCTCCCACAGATGAAGTCACTCAGCTACTCTTCCTTTTGCATTGTTTTTGTTTTACATTGTCTTGTTTTTTTTAATCTTCAAAAGGAGAGTAAAGACCCTGTTCCTGGGGAGCTCCAGAGAATGAAGTTCCTCTCAGTGCCCAAGAGAGGAGGTACTGGAAACAGTCTGCCAGGAGGAAGGACAGGGAGGGGCTGACCTAGACTGTCCTCTCAGAGACTTTTCTGTCCAAGTCTCCTTAGGGCCTTGACCTGGGATCAGCAGAGAAATGATGCCTGCACCTCTCTGGGACCACACTGGCTTCCTGGCATGTCCTCTGGGATGCTAGCCCACCTTCAATGCAGAGCTTCTGTTCTCTCTAGACTGGAACCCATCCTGTGGCTCCCATCCTGTAGCTCCAGCCATCAGGACAGCCACCTCATTCCAGTTCTAGCTCTAATCCAGCCCACAAATCTGGTCTCTGCTGCCTGGCCTGGCCTGAGCAGTGGCCCTAGAATGTGCCTCAATTGACTGCCTGGCTGCTATTCTCCATGTCTCCCCTATAGAATCCCCTTCAGGGGCCAGAAGCCTGGAGTCCAGGGCCTTAGCTAGATCAGCAGGGCAGGAACACCGAGGAAGAAAGTTGCAGAGCACACACTCAAGAGTCTGAACACGAAAAGAATAAGGAGAAGAGGTGAAGTTTGTGAGAAACAACATACTTTTGGGGCATCTGGGCTGGAAAGGAAAGGCCTTTAGAACTTTGTAGAGATGTAGAACAAGAGGCTCCAAGGGCAAAGAACCTCATATAAGACGACAAGACAGCACACATGTCCAGAGAGAGGGTCAGAGCACAGGAGCATGTGAGGGCCTTGAAGTCGGACACCAGGATGGGGCATGGCAGGAGGGTTAGTCCAGCCGTTGGATGTAGACAGGTACCATACCACACTCTTTCAGAAGCTCATCCGACCAGTCCCGGCAGTCCCTCTGAGCATCACACACTTTCCCGCTGTCCACGCACTCGCCACTCTTACACTGAAATTTGTAGGGACCCTCACAGGTTGACTCTGTTGGGCCAGACAAGAGAGTGGACAGTGTCTGTGAGACCTTGAGCAGGTAGACCAGGGCTGGATTGGGCCAGGAACCACAGAAGATAAGCAGAGTTCCAGCCCCAGCCCCCACCAGTCTAGAGGGTAGCTCAGGACAAAGAGCCAAATTCGGGGCCTGTGGAAGCATGGCTCACAGACAGGAACGATCAGAGATACATGCTTTGGCTAGCTGAGGAGAGCCATGGGGGTCTGTGTTCTGAGCTGGCAGCTCTATACATAACAGCTCTATAGAGACATCAGAGGCTGGACTGACCATCTCCTGAGGGGGGACCTTTGCTCCATGGACTCCGAATAGGAAAGGCTACTTAACTGCCCAATCTGTTATGCATTCCCCTGGATGACTAGTGAGTTAAGATCTCTGCAGGTGACAACCAGAAGAGTCCTCTCAAAATCAAGGGGGCTCCCTGAGGAGCAGGATTCAGTGTCTGTTCAATATACTAGTGAGGAAAGTCACTTGGAAGCTTAGTTGCAGGGGGTTGGGGGACAGGGGGACTTCCTTAAGAGCCCTTTCATCTCTCCTTAGGTTGCTTTTTGCAAAGTTCTTTTAAAAAAATCCAGTTCTGGTGCCATTAGGACTTCATAGGAGGGGAATCATATAATTTAGGGGCAATGATGCTCTGGGGAGAAATACATGCCAGGGACCAAGGGGGGGATCTTTTCCAACTCTGCTTTTTCCAGATCTGGGAGAGCTCAGGGCTTCTTCTCAGGGAGGATGCTGCCCCATTGCCTGTGTGAACGCACCCTGTAAGCAGCCAGCTTCATCACTCCCATCTGGACAGTCTTGTTCCTGGTTGCAGCGTTTGATTGCAAGGACACAAGTCCCATCCCCACACTGGAACTCGTCCCCACGGCAGGTCCCCAGCACTGCTGGAAGAGGGAAAGAGGAGATGTTCGGGGTCAGTGTGGTTCTAGGTCAACTCTCCCCACAAACCCCACACCATATCTACCCCTGGCAAGAACAAAACCAGTGGCTAAGCTTAGGAGTCCTCAAAGGACACCTGGCCAAGGCATCTCCAGTGTACAGATGGGGATACTGAAGCTCAGAGAGGGGGAAGGCTTTGCTCAGGGTAACAGCACTCTGGCTGGCAGAACCACAAGTAAAATTCAGGTCACCTGTCAGTGATCACCTAGGGGCACTCCTCCAGAACAGACATTTGGCCTTCCATTGAGTCTTAGTGCTCATGACTTAATGACTTTGTCCATTTAGCAAGCCCTGCCTGACCCAGGTGCTGTGCTGGGGATGGGGACCCCATAGACTTGCAAAAGAATCTCCCCATCCTCTAAGAACTCAGGGTGCAGAGAAGGGCTGAGGAGTACGTGGAAGAGGGCATGACAGTGTAAGATGAGGACAGCAGGGACCGGGGCTGGCCCAGTGGAAGGACCCAGCCCAGCTGGGATAGTCAGATTGTAGAAAAGGCTGGTGAGGAGTTCCTGAGTGCACAAGGTCACTGTTTAGAGGCACTAGTATGTGACTGCCTGGATGGGGACAGGGCAGTGCGGGGGAGGAATGAAGGAGAAGGGGAGATTGGAGCAGATACAGGTGCCATTGAAGATGCTTGGCTTCTGGGGTCAGACCTGAGCCCCATTGCTTAGTAGCCATGTGACCTCAAGCAAGTCACCTTATTTTCCCAACCTAAGTCCCTAGTAAAGCAAGGCAATGTATTCAGGGTAAAGCAAGGAAAGAAAGCCTGCATCTGGCCTACTGGCAGCCGGATCTGCAGGCCCTCGGCAGGGCTGGATGATGTGGAGGGGGCTTACGGCAGTCGGCCTCGTCTGACTTGTCCTTGCAGTCGTGGTCCCCGTCACAGCGCCAGCCCAGGTGTATGCACTCGCCGCTGCGGCAGGCAAACTGGGAGGTTGGGGAGCAGGCTGCCGGCGCGGACGTGGTCCCCAGGCCTGCTCGACCACAGAGCTCGGCTGCCTCATCTGAGTGGTCCTCACAGTCGAACTGGCGGTCGCAGACCCAACGCTCAGGGATGCAGGCGCCACCGACACCGCCACAATGGAACTCACGGGGCCCACAGGCAGGGTCCGCGCAGCCGCGCTCATCGCTACCATCACCACAGTCGTCATCGCCGTCGCACACGAACACCGCAGCCAGGCACGAGCGGTTGCTGCACTGGAACTCGTGTGGGGCGCACACTGCGCAGGACAGAGAGGCGGTCGGCCGCCAGCCCCCATGCCCGCCCACCCGGCCCTGCTACGGAGGCTCTTTCACCTACAGGAGGGAATGAGTCCTGCTGAAGGCCTGAATGGGGGACGTGAAGCCAGGCACAGCAAAGTGGAGCTTCCAGTGGTGACCCTGGGCAACACACTTGCCCTTTCTGAGCCTTATGAGCTTCCCTGCATAAATGAGAGTGAAGATTCCTGCCGTGCTGCTAGCAGGATGGTGGGAGCAGGAAGGCTCTAAAGCTGCAGAGCATTGCCTGTCTAGACAGAGAGGCAATGATCTATAGAGTCACACTGCAACAGGATGTGAGGTTGTCCACAGCTGTGGGCGGCATAACCTGCACATTCCATCACAGGCCCTGCCCTGGCATTCCCTGCTCTGATCCCAGCACCTCACTCCTGAACGTGTCCAGCTCCAGACACCTTAAATGGTTTGGTAATGCCATGCACAAGGGAGGGTCCTACCTCTAGGCCTTGCTCAAGTGGTTCCACCTGCTGGAAGTCCACCTCTTGCCCACCAGTGCCTCTTTTTCTGTCATCAGTTCTTTTCCTTCAAGAGCCCAAGTTCCACCTCCTCCATAACACATTTCTTGTTTCTCTACTTGGGACATCTCCCACTGCCTCTATCCTATGTGCTTTTCACAGCCAGCCCAGATGCCTGGGTTTCACATCCTTCTCCATTTGCTCCAAGACAACAAACAAACAGCCTGGAGGTGACCCTGTTTTGTCCTGAGGGTCTGGCATGGAGCTCCCAGCAGCAGGTAGATGTGGAATGGATGGCTATGAGACTGGCCTGGGTGTGAAGAGTAATTGAGGGCATAGGTCATGGCCCTGACTGTGGCTCTGGGCTTCCCCTCTCTGATGGGCTGCTCTGAGCTCAGAAGCAGGGAGGACCTTAGAGACCAGTCAGCCCACTCGCTAGTTTACAGATAGGAAAACTATGATTCAGAGAGGGGAACAACTTGCCCAGAGTCACACAGTCCCTGGTGACAAGAGAACCAGAACTGAGGTTTGGGGCATTTTCTTCCTTTTTTTGGTACCAGGGATTGAACTCAGGGGCACTCGACCACTGAGCCACATACCCAGCCCTTTTTTGTATTTTATTTAGAGACAGGGTCTCACTGAGTAGCTTAGCAATCCTCCTGTCTGAGCCTTCCGAACTGCTGGGATTACAGGCATGCGCCACCCCTTCCTTCCTTCTTTGACTCCTTCTCTAGCTTTTCTTGTCTTCTTTCCTCTTGGAGTGTAAGCTGTTTTCAGGGTCACAACTTCCTTGCCTCCTTCCTTCCTTCATTTCTTCAGACACTGGCCAAGAACTAGCTTGGGGACCCAGGTGAGTCATGGGTGCAAGTGGCTGTGATCACAGGTAACAGGGTGGTTGCAGCACCAGATCTATCCACGAGGGGTCGCCCATAGCCTGTTTATATTTTCTGGTGGAACAATGTCAATTTTCATTGTTATGGAGCATAAAGTGAGGTCTTTGGTTTCACAATGTAGGCAGCTCATGTCATGTGTTTCTGACAGCTCTACCAAGTTTCTGACAGTTGCATTTTTTCTCCTTCTGGGCTTTTGAGATGTTGGGGCATTGGTGGGAAGCACATGGTATGGATGCCACATGATCTCAAGAGGATGCTGATGCCTAGATTAGCTCCCCTCCTACCGGTCCAGAGTCAGTTTGTACATGTCCAGAGAGAATTCATAGCCTTCTGAGAGTCCTGATAGGAAGTGCTTCTTTTTTGTGGTGGTGGTGCGGGGGGGGGGACTGGAGATTGAACTCTACCACTAAGCTACATCCCCAGCCATTACGTTGTTGTTGGTACTGGGGATCTAACTCAGGGACACTTAGCCACTGAGCCACATCCCCAGCCCTTTTAATTATTTTTATTTTGAGATAGTGTCTCAGTAAGTTGCTTAGGGCCTCACTATGTTGCTGAAGTTGGCTTTGCGATCCTCCTGCCTTAGCCTCATGAGTCACTGGGATTACAGGTATGTGCCGCATGCCCAGCAGGGAGTGCTTACTAATAATGAGTTCCCACCAAGGTTCTAAAGCTAACAGTAACTTTAAAATCCATGCTACCTAGACCCACACTCCCTCCCAGCATGCAAATGGAATAGCCTCTGAGAGATGGGAGAAGGAAGGACACATTTTTCCTCTGCCCAGACAGTAGTGAACTATAGCAGAGAAGCCCAGTAAGACCTAACACGCTTGCTCTTATAATTAATGGGAAATATTTCTGTCCCAACATACCTAGTTAGATACTCCTACCCTCTGCCATAGTGGTAGACTTTATATTGGAGGAATCATCTAATTATAGGGATGAGAGGTAAGGAGAGAAGAGGATTCTCATGGACCAGTGAGTCCTTACAAATTATTACAGCTGAAGAAACAAGCCAGTACTATCACTGGGGCATTGAAACTGCTGGTCCCAGACAGGATCTCCCCCACATCCAGATGCTCTCTGCTTCAGATCCATCAAAGCACCAGACCTAGAATCTGTGACTCAGAAGTCTTGGGAGGAGATGGCTTTGCCCCTGGGCCGGAGGAAAGGCCAGGGTGCACACAGAGAGGCTGTTGGAGAGCACAGGGGTGAGAGGCAGCAGTGGGCAAGTGGCAGGCTTAGGACCTTCTGTGTGAGCACCCATGTCTCTGCCTAGCCTCCCAGATTAGTAGTCAGTCTCCCCGCCCCCCATAACCTTGTGCTTCCAGAGGGAGCCCTATGTAGGATTCACCTCAATGTCCCTTCCAGAGTTTGGCTCCAGGCCTGGCACACAGTAGGTACCCATCAAATTGAAACAAGTAAGGCCTAGTCATAGTTCCCCCTGGCCCAGGCCTTATTGGCCTGCTCCCTGGGAAGGAGATAATCCTGTATTTGAAGTTCAGTGATGTGGAACTGTCCAATGACCACTTCCATCTGTCCCTGCTGAGGCTGTTGGGAATGTCTTCCCTACCCTGTGACATGTGTGCTCGAATCTGAGATTTCTAGAACAGTCGTCCTTCACACCTCAGGAATCTGCCCTCCTCCCCCAGACAATGCCCATGCCCTGGCTCAGGCCACTACCATTTCCCCATACAGCCCACTCCCTGGATCCTTTGCCTTTTCTTAGAAATTGGAAAACTTGTGGAATGAATGAGCAGATGTCAGGTGTGGTAAAAAGCTTTGCTGTTCAGACCTGAATTTCAATCTCAGTTCTAACACTCAGACTTGGGCACTTTTCCTTCCTTGTCTGAGCCTCAGTTTCCTCACCCATAAAATGGGGATGATAATGGCTACTCATGGTTGAGTAGGTGGTTGTTAGGATGAAAAGAAGAAAATGTCTCCTAAGTGCCCAGCTGTTACTAGTGTCCTGATCATTATCCTTTCCTTTCCACTTGCCAGGCCCCAGGGGAAATAGAAGCAGCCACTACTCCCCAAGGCTGCCTGACCATGCTTGGTAGACCCTGGGTTTCTGACCCCAAACTCACAGGTAGCACAGCCAGCTTCATCTGCTCCACCCTCGCAATCCTTCTCCCCGTCACAGCGCCAGGAGGCAGGCACACACTTGTGGCTGGTAGGTCCACAGCTCAGTTTCTCTGCAGGACACACTTGCCTGGCTGTGGAGACAGATATCCATGCATGGTTTAGCCAAGGGGGACACAGGGCATAGTGCCAACCAGTCCTACCACCCAGTTCCAGCCACCTGGCACAAGGCTGTGGGTGTCCCTCAGGATCCTCCTACCCCACATCTCAAGTTTCTTCATCCGAAGTCCCTGTCTGCCTCTAGGACTTTCCAAATCCAAATCTGACCCCACCATTCCCCTGCCTGACACTCTTCTCATGGTCCCTGATCCCTGACACTCAAGTCCCTCCTTGATCCAGTGACTCCTGCCTGTCTTGCCTGATTACCCTTCTCACCCCTCCAGATCTTTCTTTCCAGCTCTAGCGACATGCAGCAGCCTCACTCTGCACTCCTCCACTCTGCACTCCTCCCCGACGTTTCCCAGCTGGGTGCCCTTGGGAGATACAGGCCCAACTAGAGCAGGGTTTGCCTTCCAGATCAGTGACGCCATAATCCGAAGCTGTATAAGTGAGGGTTCATCAAAGCCCCTGTAGCTCCAGCCCACCCCTCTCTAAGCCCCCTCTCCTAGTAATGGTGCTGAGCCCACCGCTGAGAGCAGCTACCGAATGGCAGGGCCCAGTGGGACTACACAGCTATAATTACTGCAGCCGCAATCAGAGGCTGACTCAATCAGGGGCCTGAAGCCCCAGGGTTGATTCTCAATTTGGAAGAAAGAATGAGAACCCTATTCAAGGCTGGGGGCAGCTCTTATCCTGAGCTGCTCCTGATGCACTTGACAGCCAAGGCAGATGCCATTTCAGACTCCCATGGTTGGCTCCCTACTGCCTTCCAGGGTGTGCAGGAGGCCCAATCTCAGTGGTCTCTAGGATGTGCCAGGCACAGTGCTAGAGGCTTCTATTTAATCTTTTTTTAGGGGGTTCCAGGGATTGAACTTAGGGGCACTCGGCCACTGAGCCACATCCCCAGCCTGATTTTGTACTTTATTTAGAAACACTGTATCACTGAGTTGCTTAGCACTTAGCTTTTGCTGAGGCTGGCTTTGAACTTGTGATCCTCCTGCCTCAGATTCCCAAGCCGCTGGGATTACAGGCGTGTACCACCACACCTGACTCTATTTAATCTTAATAATAACCAAGGAAGGTGAAGATTTATGTCCCAGCCTCCAACATGGAGACTGAGGACATGAGCCCTGGAGCCTGGGTACAAATTCTAGATCAAACATTCACTGGCTATGTGAACTTGAGCAAAAATCCTTATCTCTGGGCCAATAAAGGGGATACTGCTGTGTCCTATCATGATGGAGCTGGATTTGTACTCAGTGGTAGAGCACTTGCCTGGCATGCATGAGGCACTGGGTTCAATCCTCAGTACCACATAAAAATAAATAAACATATTGTTTCCATCTACAATTAAAAAATTTTTTAAAAAAAGATTGTTATGATGACCAAATTAATGTCTGTAAAGTATTTCAAAGAACACTTAGCCTAGTGCTACTATTACAACCCATAGATAAGAGATGAATACTCATGAGTCTCATTCATTTATCTATTGATTATTGCTGGGTACCAGACAAGGTGGTCTGCACTGAGTTCTAGTCATGCTGCTGGTAAAAAGTGCATGAGTCAGTTATGTCTGAGATTGGGAACAGTCTGTGGTACCCCTAGAAGCAGTGGCTGATCTCATGCTGATCTCTGCTCCCAGACTAATTTCCTCTCCTCTTGCTTCTATACCTGGGATGAGGGGCCACAAGGAATGGAGAAAGGACACAGAAAAGTTGGGGAGACAGGTGTGGGGCAGATGTCTGAGTCAAGGTCCACCGACAGTATTATGCCATGGGAGAAGAGTAGTTTTGACCCCTCCAGTATGAACTTCAAAGTTATCCCTAGGAATACATTTTATGAATTATAAGGCAATCCATTGAGAATACAGGATTCATTGGACAGAAATTTCCCTTTATAGCTGCTAGATAGAGCTCTGAAAAGCACTGACACTCAATGACCTTTTAAAATGTCACCTTGGGGCAGTCATATCGGATAGTAAAGGGGGACTGGGAATTTTAGAGATGGTCCTTCCAGGGCACCTCTTCCACTAACACACTGTGGGACTTCAGGCAAGCACTTCTGGGCTCCACCAGGACATGAAGGAGCTGATATCCAGTGTCTCCCGGAGAGTCCTCTGACCAAGGGGTAGGCTGTGAGGGAGCTATTAGAAGTGCAGGTTCCCAGGCCCCAGTTCTGACTGAATCTAGACTTAGAGGGCAGAGCTCAGGATTCCAGGCCCCTCTCTGTTAGAACCCTTGAATTAACATTGGGCATTTCTAAAAGATACAGAATATTTTACCTCATTCAAATACAAGTGATACCATAAAAGGTGAAATAGGTGTTTCAGACATTTGTAAGCACCCCCGAAAGAGCAATGGGACGAGGGCAAGGCACCACTTGTTCCCAAGCCAGATCCAGGAAACAACCTCAAAGGGGGTTGGGAGGGCCACATTTACTAAGCACCCTTGGTGTATCAGGCTGCTTGTGCCAAGTATTTTCCCATTTTATCTTACCACAGTGTGAAAGCTAGAATCCCCCTACTCCAAATTCACAATGGAATTTAATCCCCAACGTGATAGTGTTAAGAAGTGGAGCCTTCATGAGGTGATTAAGCCATGAGGGTATGAATGGGATTAGTAGCCTTATGAAAGAGGCCTGAGGGAGTTCCCTTGCCCACTATGCCATAAGGACACAGTGAGCATGTACCATCTATGAGGAATGGGCCCTCACCAGACACTAAATCTTCCAACGCCTTGATCCTTAGACTCTCAGTCTCCAGAACTAAAAGCAACAGATTTCTGTTGCAAATTAGTCAGTTTAAGGGATTTGGGGCTATAGCAGCCAGAACCATCACCCTTCCCTGACAGGTAAGCAAGCCCTGCAGGCTGTGAGTACAGAGATCATCGTGTCATCAGTGTTCCTAGAGTGGAGTAGATAAGCACCCCATTGTACTGATGAGGAAACTGAGGCTCAAGGAGACAAAGTAACTGGCCCAAAGATGCACAACAGGTGAGAGACAGTCTGGGTTCCTCTGACTAGAGCCCTGCCCTTTCCAGAAAACCCTAGATACTCTAAAACCAGCCTCAAACTCTCTTCCCCAAAGCCTAAGTGACTGAAAATGGCCCTTGACCATATGCACCACCTCTAGAGGCCTGGTTCTTTAGACCCCAGTGCAGAGGCAGCCGACTGAACTTTGAATGAATATTTATACAGTTAATAGCATAACCTTTCAACAAGGACAATGATTAAACAATCCGTCTGCTTCCTTTCTTTATAATTAATAAGACATTTGCTGTGTCCCTAAATAGACAGTTCTAATTACAGGCTCTCAAGGATTCATCAGTGCCTGATAGCAGCACCTCATCCTGAAGAGTCAAAGACTCTTGGAATGCCAGGACAAGAGAGCCCTTGGAGGTCACATTGATGAGCACCCCTGGTCCCAATGTCTTGAGAAAGGAATGATTCCAGATATTCAAAATGCCCGTCTCTCCTGGAATCTCATCATCTCTCTTGTGACATTGTTCCTCCCAAAGTTGGACTTGATCTGGCTCTCTAGGCCCCAGGTCAGGCCTCTCTGCTGCAGAGCCCTTGGTAGAGCGACATGCAGATCTCCTTTGGAGGCAGATCCTATTATTTCCTCCATTTTACAGCTGAAGAGAGCAAAGCCCAGAGAGGGTATGTTGTCTGCTCAAAGTCTTATAGTGAGGGGCAGAGCTTGACTTCCAAACCAGGTCCAAATACACTGCGTAATTTTTGTATTTAACTATTACACATGGAAAAAGTAGGCCCCACAGGTCTCTCCCACACATCTGAGCTGGAGAGGAGTCACTGGAGGAAGGAGGCTCACTGAGCCTTTGCTTAGGCAGGTTGTGCATGATGGCTATCTGATGTCCACTGTCAGGATTCTTGAACCCCAAGGCCCCCTGACAGTGTGATACAAGAGAAAAAGCAGGGTTTGAGTCAGATAGACTTGGGTCCAGGTTTCATTTACTAAGGTCCTAGGGCAGGTCAGTTAACTTCTCTGCATCCTGGGGTTGAATAATCTCTGGGGGGGTTGGTGGATGTTTTAAATGAGGAAACATGGAAATCACTGTATTTGAGATCTTGGAACAAATCTAAAGCTGTAGAAACTGTTGCCCTTAAATGAACTGTACATGCAAAAGACTGGTAGGGCACCTGCTTCTACCCTGGGACATGCACATGGGTCCACATGGTGCACCATGGCACAGCCTCCACCTAACTGCAGCCTCTCCTTCTGCATGCCCCCAAAGGACACCTTTGGTCTGCTGTCCAAGTACCCCAGGTTATAAGATGCAGAAGTTAAAACCCCTCCATCTCTCAGACAAGAGGAACCCTCCAAAGTTGGCAAGGGGGCTTGAAACTGCACCCAGGAGTGGCTGAAGACATTTATTAATTTCTGGAGAATCTTGCCTCAGAAATCCAAATCTGTGGGTACTTTCTCCAATTCACAAATTAACAAAAAAGGACATGTAGGTTTGCTCACAGCTTCCCAGCTGAATGGAAAAAAAGGAAATAAAAAAAAAGGAAAGTACTTGGTAGCTACTCATTGACTGAGCAAGTCTACATATCAACTCACTTAAGTTTTAGAAGCAGACAACCTCCAAATGGGGACTGCCAGCTCCAAGGAGACTGGACACTCAGGTTATGGGAGCTACTAGCTCTCCCCAAGGAAGCACAGCATGGGACCATTGCTTTGTGCCCAAGCTGGGAGTTACACCAGGCTCCTTCACGTGGGGTCTGGCAAAATGCTTCTAGCTGGGTCAGTTCCTAACTTGCTGGGTGATCTCAGGAAATCCCTGGCCCTCCATTTCCTGATCTAAACTAAGAAGGTGAGCTTGGTTAATCAGCGAGATCCCCCTCCCAAGTTCCATATTCCATATTCGGTAAGGAGCACCAAGTGTAACTCATTCCCCTTGAATCAACCTCTCTTCCCCCTGCCCACACCCCTTCCCAACAGATGCCTGAAGGTGGGTCAGAGTGGTTCCCAATCAAGTGAGCTATAATTAAAGTTGAAAAGCTACTTTCATTAGGCAAATGTTCTGGGCTTTTCTGTTATGACTCTGGCTATATTTTTTTAAGTACAGAATTCAGAACCAGAAAGAATGGAGCTGGGAGATACCTTGCCCAGTCAGGGGCAGACAACATAGTAGGGGGAAATGTAAGAACTGGGAGCTGCCCCCACATCCCTTTTCCTCTCAACATAGCCCCCCTCACTTATACTGTTCTAATACTATAATATTCTAATATCTTACTATTATAAAATGTTGTGTTGTGGCAGAGGTCTTAGAAGCCAACATAATAATAAAAATAACACCATCATTTACTCTGGTACTGACACTTGCACTTTTTCATGAGATCCTCACAATCCCTATATGGCAGGTACTATTGTACCATTTGACAGATGAAAGAAACTGAGGCTCTGGAAAACTGGGCAATTGGTATGAGGTCTCACAGGCTAATGGACCAGACCCACCTATATCAGATACCAAATCACTATACTTTATTGTCTATTATCTTTCTGCTAGGGGTGAGGAGTGGGACTCTATCCTGGGAGCTGGCACAGCCCCAGAAACCTGGTAAGCTATGGAGATTGCTATGGCAACGCCAATTAAATGGACAGCGGGTTGGCTGCCGGGATCTCATTCAGCTGGGAAGCTGTGAGCAAACCTACTATCAGGCCCTGCTGCCCCAAGTTCTGCCTGACCCTTGAGATCTCACTCTGGCAGACCTCTTCCAGGAAGCCCTCCCCAGCCATGGGCCTTGCCTGCCTGTGATCAATGTTAACAGGAAGCAGGGATCCTGGTCCTTGTGCCCCAGTTGAGCACAGGCAAGGGAGAAAGAGGATCTCAAAACACTAAGAGTTCAGGAATCTTGATATCATGAAATTCTGGAATGTTAGAGGTCAGGGCCCAGACAGGAATGAGAAATAGGTAGAACTTCACAGGGAATTATTGGGATATTCCAAAGGAGAGTTGGGCCTCTCCACTCCTGCATGCTGCCTTCTCTGTTGCTCCCACAGGTGTCCTGTCTAACCTCAGAGGGCTTCAAGAGCCTGTCTTTTGTCCCAGAAGGGGGACCTGCCATGAATAAGCTGTGTATCTTTGTGGTAAGTCAGTCAATTTCTCTGGGCCTCCAGTTGCTCAACTGTCAAATAAAGGGGGACCTGGGAGGCTAGAGGGATGGAGCAGGAGGGTCCGGCACAGCCTAGGGATGGGAAGGCAGTAAGTGCTGGGATGGGAAGCAGGGGTGGGAGGGGGCAAGACAGGACAAGCAGGAGGCTGAGGAGGGGGTGAGCAGCCCAAGACAGCAGGGTGAAAAGGCCCAAGGAGGGCCAGGAAATAAGGTGAATAGCAATAGAGACTGAGTTGTGGAGAGAAGGAAGAGCACAGCCCTGGGGCATTAAGATAGCCTGCAACTAATAACCACAACGAGGCCCCTGTTCCCCTCCTTTCTGCCCCCAGTGTCCAGGGTAACTGCAAAGTGGGCGGATGGCAGAGCTAGCTAACTGCAAGCGTAGAAAGGCCCCCTGTGGCCACAGCCCTCCTCCCCAGATTCACTCCAGGTGCACATGACTCTGCCCTTGGAGGCCAGGCAGCCACAACCAAGTGGATCAACTATTCCAGCCTCAGTTTCCTTCTAAGTGGGCCCCACCTCCCTCCCAAGGTTTCTAAGAGATGCAAGTAGCAAGTGGGCGTGGCTGGCTTTGTTCCTTCTGCAGCTCAGAACAAAGCACTGGGCTTCCCTCCTGCCCTGGAGCCCCAGGACAGCATTGATTTGGGCTATCTGGAGGGGTAACAAAAGGATAGGGCCTGTGGTATGACTGAGGAGGGCAGGGGCAGTTGTACAAGGAAATGACCCCCTTGTCTGCAGCGGGGTCGCTCTTGCTCTCCTCTCTCTCCCTTTCTCTTTCTCTCACAGACTGGTAGCTCTGTTGCTAGGAGACAAGGAAACCCAGTTATCTCCAGCCACAGCCTTAGATGGGGCTGTGGCCTCCATTGTCCCTGCCTCTGCCTCTAGGGCAACTATTACCCTGAAGAAGGGTTCCCCGGTCCCCAAAAGCCCCACCATCCACCACGGGCTCACCCTGTCCCAATCTTTTGTCTCAGGCTTACACAGCTGACACTCTGCCTCTGGACCACTGGGTCCTTCCCCACCCCCGTCTCATCTCCTTTTTAATTTAACAAATGTCACGGAATGACCTGCCTGGTGTAAGTTTGCTTAGAGGATTAGGGCCTGGAAAAGAAATCACAGAAAGACAAAGCCCTGAGTGTGGGAGGCGGGCCTAGGGCTTTGGCCCTCCATATCACCCCTGGCTGCATCTGTCACCAGCCAGCTGGCTAGGGACAACTGGGCTCCAGGGCCCAGCCCACCCAAGGCAGAGGAAAAGGCTAGGACCTTAAAGTCCTGGCTGGGCAGCCACAAGCAAGTCACTCAACCTCTCTGAACTTCAGTGTCCTCCTTTACAAAATTCTGAAAGTGACAGCACTTGCCTCCTGAGGCTGCTATGAGGATAAAAGGAGTTAATACACACAAATACACACATTTACAGTCTGGCACACTGTAAATGCCTAACAAGTGCCAGCGGCCATTCGCACTACTGGAATTGCGATTTGGGTCCTCAAGGACACCAACAGGGGCGGCCTGCAGGAGGCACTATGGCTACTTCTGGGCAAAAGGACTCAATGGGCTGATTCCAGTGCCTGGTGCTATAGAAACAGGGTCCGATGTGCAACTGGTTTGAAGAAAGCCCAGAAACAGGTAACTAGCAACTAGAAACGCTTGACTGCTAGGCCCCCGACCCCGGGGTATGGCAGTGTTCAGCTGCTCACCTCAATTGAGCCTCACAACCTGCCGCCACAAAAGAGCTGATGAGGAAACAGCTCCAGGGCAACCCCCACCCCATCAGTCCAAGGGACACGACTCACGGCAAGTGGCCTCGGACTCGTCAGAGCCATCAGGACACTCCTCCTCTCCATCACACTTCCACCGCTCAGGGATGCAGTGGCCGTTGTCACAGGTGAAGTCACTGTCTGCACAGGTCTTCTTAGCTGTGGGGCAAGGAGAAGAGCATGAGGGGTCCGGTGAGCACAGAAGGCTTTTCTAAGACAGTCTGGTCTTAGAACAGTCTGGTCTTTTCTAAGACAGCAATATACTCTGTCTAAAAGCTGGCCCACGTGACCTCCCACAGTACCACCAGACCACGGAGCAACTCACTCAAGAGGAGACGAGAGGGAGAAAGGCTGACTCACCCTGCACCCATCTACTGAGGGTCATGTGAAGACAGGTCCAGGAGCTCAAGTCTAGCAAGGGTGCCAGGGGCCATCACATCCTTGTCACACCCCTCTCTTCCCTCAAAGTCTACTCCAAGGAGCCCTCTCTGATTCCCATCCTGCAGCTGCCCCTTCAGCCCGTTCTCAGCCACTTTACCTGCCTCTCCACCCCAACCAGCCTGGAAGTCAAGGCCCCTTCCACAAATAGGGAGCTCATGAATCCTAAAAATAGACGCTTCCTTTGTGGCAAGATTAATGAGGTATTTTGTGCTCATAGTGGTGACCAAGCACCTACTGGGCAAGACACTCAAATCAGTCCCTATCCCTGAGGCCCTTGCAGAGGTCCTACAGAGGAGACCGCTGTCCTGCACTGGGTTTTGGAACCCAGCTGGGCCTCCTTCCATGTGCGTGACCTTGGGTTGGTTACTTAGCTTTAAGCCTGTATGTAATCTTCTTATATATGTAATGGGAGAGGGAAACAAAGGCTGTGAGCAGTGAGAAGTTACAGCCCAAGTGGAACATGCGCAAAGAACCCACCGCCAGCAGATGCTCGTGAGCAGCGGCTACTGCTGTTTTCATGGTTGGAGTCTTAATTAAAAGTGTAAGCAATGGGTGTTCTGTGTCCACCCAGGGAATATAGCAAGCTGAGCTCTCACAGCTGGTGAGGCAAGAATGTGGGTACCAACCCCAGCACAAGACTCTCTGCTGCCCTATGTGCCCTGTCCTGAGAGGCACTACAGTTTGGCGTCAGGGAGTGGAAATGAGAGGGAGGGCTGTGTCCTACGGTACCCTCATTATTATTGCTGAGCTGGGGTCCCAGCTTCTTCCTGAATGCTGACTATATCTGACAGGCCAGGGCAGGTTGAGGGCAATTGACCCTTCAGGCCTCCTGTGGGTGAGCTGAGGCTGCCTATCCCCCACAACCAGCAGGTGTGCAGGGGTGAGGCCTTGAGGACCCCAGCCCGGACCTCTCAATTCTTGGGGCTCCTCTACATCAAACGTGTATTCAATTTATACCCTGCCCAGGCTTGGCCTGAGGGTCCAGGACTTGCTACAGAGCAGCAAAGTGGGAGAGAAGGAGCACAGGACAGGGAGCCAGGAGGCCTGGACTCCAGTTTTTGCTGTGCTGTTCTGCTGTGAGCCCTCATGTAAATCTCTGTCCCTTTCTGGCTCTCAGTTTCTTCATTGGGAAAGGGGCAGGGGATTTGATGAGATATAACCTTTCAGTGGAGAAGGTAGTTCCAGATGACGAGGCCCAGAAATGGCAGGGACGGTCTCTTTTCAGCACAAAGAGGATATCTCAGCACAGCAGGGCTCATCTCAGGCCTTGGGGAGCCCAGTCCTCCCTTGACTGACCTTGGGGCTGATATGCAGGGGCCAACTGGATTATGCCCCTCCCCAGGGGCTGAGGTCCCTTGACCCCCTGCTCTCCTCCTCCCCTCCCCATTCTTCCCAATCCAGTCCCCCCCTGGATTCTAGAGGGCTCCAGCATACTCCATACTATTTATAACATCACACCTTGCTCAAGTTGTCCTTTGTCTGAAAACCGTTTCTCCAAACTGCTTTCTTCCACTCTGTACTTAGATATCACCTCCTCCAAAAAGACATCCCTGATCACTTCTAATCTTTGAGGACCTCCCCTGAGCTCCCACAGTCCTCTAAATGTCACTCTAGAGTACAAGTTGGCAAACTTTCTCTGTAAAGGGCCAAAGAGTAGATATTTAAGCTGCAAGGGCCACATGGTCTCTGTCATACCACTAAATTCTGCCATTGTGGGGCAGAAGTCACCATAGACAATAGTTAAGAGTGAGCACAGCTGTGTGTAAATAAAAGTTTATTTATAAAAAAAGGCAGTAGGCTGTGGCCTATGGCATAATGACCTATGCTCTAGATCATCAGTGACTCCATAGCCCTACATGATTAGCTGTCCTCTCTGTCCTCCAACATGGTGATGTCAGGCTCTGCACAGGACCCAACTTGGTAGATTTCAGGGGGAAAGTGAACTGAATGTCTGGCCTCTGCTCCCACATATCAAGGGCCAGGACTCCACTTCTCCCCAGGAAGTTCCTTCCCATCGGCCAGCTTTATTGAACTCCTTCCATGGTCTGCTTGCTGCCCTGCAGGGATCTGGGGAGAGAGACTAGGTTGCTTGAATCCACTCCATTTCTTTTTTCCATGAAATCCTTGCAGTACATCTGCATTCTGAGCTTTCTTCACACTTTCCTTAGCCAGATGCCTCTACATGAAGGCTAGAAGAAACCCAAGGAATCAGAGTCCACCTACAGATGGGGAAGAACCTAAGTCGCAGAGAGGAAAGAAGCCGGCCCAGGAAAACCCAGCAAGGCAGGGACAAGAGCCAGCTCCCCTGTCTCTCAGCCCTCGGCCCCCAAGCAGCCCTCTCTGAGCTCTGCACAAAAGGTCATTGTCAATACCACTTCTTGATAAATCATAGTCTGCAATCATTGTAAAGTGAACACCTGTATAAGCTGTGGCACCTGGGGAATTCTCCCCCATAGGAGTTCAGCATCCAAACAAAGAAGCAAATATTCTGAGTTTTTCTTTTTTTAACATTCCCCAGATGCTTCCTGGGTGGCAGTGTTGATGCTAGGGGTTTTTCTCATGAAGCCCAAGGACAAAGACTCGTTATATCCTCACTCAACATATGAAGAAACTTGGGCCCAGAGATGTTAAGTTACATGACCGAGGTCACATCTGAGTGGGAGCAGGGCCACAATTTGAATTTGCAGTCATATGTCTGCTCTTTCCCAACATACTCCCCAAATACACACTCGGCCGTAGAGGTGGAAGAAAAGCCCAAGGGTAGATGGGAAGGCCCTATGGAGGCTTCAGTCAGCATCACTGAGCCTCTGCCCTGGGAACACAGAGGAAACAAGCTAGTGGCTGGGAGCACAGAGCAAGAGGGTAAGTCTGGCAAGGATGGATGACCAGGCAGCACCCAGTAGACAGTGTTGTCAGGGCTATGTCCCTTGGTGCAGGACAGCCAAATGCCCTAGGGCGCTTTTCTGGCATTCTTGAAGCTCAGGGGTGAGCTTGGCCTGCCTGCATGTCCTAGACCCAGCAGGCACTGTGCAAGGAAGCCGAGCAGCCAAGCACCATCACAGTCCAGAGGGCAATTGAGACGTCATCCAGGCCCAGGAAACGGGGCTGCAGGGCTCGCAGTTCCATAGTGGTGTTTTGCAGAACTTATCTGTTCATTGTCTAGACCAGTGTGGTCATTTTCCACCCTGGCTCCTTTCATCCAAAATCCAGTGACTCTCTGGTAGCTCCTGTTACTCCCATTTACAGAAGAGGCACTTGAGGCTCAGGGAGGTAAGGATGGCAGCTGGCAGAGTGGGATTTCAGTTCTGTGTGACTGCTACCAAAGCTTGAGCTCCTCCCTCTAAGGCCCTCCACCATCCCAGTGTTCCCCAGCTAAGAAAGAGGACCCCAGAGAGGAAACACAGTGAAAGGCCTTTCAGATCCCAGGGACCATTGGACAAGGCAGTGAGGCAGGTCAGGCACTTAGCACAGAGGCACCTGCATGAAGCGGTCCCCTGCAATGTGGCCAGAAGTGTTCAGAAGAATTAACCTAGCCTGTGATGACCTGTTCTCTGCTAATGCACTGCCCTGAGGAGACTGAGGCAGCAGGGTCACTTTCAGGTTTGAAACTCAACTGAACTACCTTGGGAGGGCCCCACTGGAAGTGTACCACAGAGGGACTTAGCTTCAGAGCTAAGATTGAATCCTGGCATGGCTGCAGCCTCACTGGGTGACACTGGACAAGTAAGTCCCTTCTCTCTCTGAAACAGTGGCACAGTGGCTTCCCATGCAGCACTGCCACAAGGCAAAAGTTTTCTCTTGGGGATCTCAGTGAACATCCCAGCATCGGATCATTCAGTGTAACAGGTCCCGGAGTCCTCATCAAGGGAAGGGGCTGAGCTATTGTCCTGGGGCTGTCAGAGTAAGCCATGCCAGACCCCACTCTCCTGGCCTTGGCTCTGGTTCCCAAGACGATTCCCCAGCTGGGCTGGAGGCCGTGGCTCCGTTTCCAGGGATTTATGTCCCTCTATGCCAGTCTGCCCCTTGGACAATGCCCACCTCTGTGAGTCCCTATACTCCACAGCCCAGGAGTGATACATAGTCATCCAGGGTCTGCGACATCATAATCTGGTGCCATGGCAACAGATGGGCTGCCACAAAAGACTTGAGATTCCAGAGGGCAGTAAGGAGGGGGTGACCCCAGGGCAGAGCAGAGTGGGAAATCCAGGACAAAAGAAATTGGGAGCTGCAATTTATAAGGAACACAGGCCAAGGAAAGCATCAGATGGTCCAGGGCCAATTGGACTCTGCTTTGCCATTTCTGGGTGGTGTGATGTTATTCAAGTTACACAACTTCTCTGAGCCTCATTTGCTTCATCTGCATTCAGGGATACTGTCCTTGCTTTACAAAACGCAGAGGGTTTGGGGATAAGGATGGCACTAGGGCTTTAAAAAGCAGAAAAAGTGAGGATTGTGAAGTCAGCGCCCTGGCCCTAGCAGCTGCATGCAATGCGGGGTCCATCAGTTGGCCTGTCTGGGCCTGCCTCCTCATCGGGAAATGGAGGCATGGTGCTGACTGATTCTTAAGCTCGTCTCAGCAAACCCAGGGGCTGTGATCTTGTGAAATTATTATGATCACTCAGCACCTCAAAGCTTCCCCGCCCCTGAAGCCTCCTCCCCTGAGACAGTATACACCCTTACACTGCTCCCACCCTCACTCCCCGCAGCCCAGTGCAGAC